TAAACTATCAAAACAATATCAACAAATAATAACAATTATACCATTACACTCCGCGTGTTCCGTGTTGATAACATTTAAAATATTTAGTTTATCTGGTGCTTCTCTCTTCAGTTTTCAGTTGGCACTCTCATTCAACTGACTCACTGACTAGGTAGGCTAGCGCGAGTGAAGCAACCACTATAGCGAGCGGCTCCCTCTCCGGGCCGAAACAAGCACAACGCCCTTGACTATAAATACTGTAAATGATTACAAAATTCCAAAGATTAGGCTACCATATCTCTCACATTTTCCCACATTTCAGGTTGGCAACACAGGGAACCCAAACATGAGCAAAAAACTGTACTATTAATACAGAAAGTATTACCCTTTTTCACAGCGACTATTTCCCATTTTCTTTGATGTGACAGACTAACTAGGACCAACAATAGTAGACTGCCTCTGACTTTATCAGAAACTATCAATATAATGCCAACCAACCTCTTTTGACCTTGCATTATTCAGTATGAAAATGTATACACTCACTAACTGTAAGTCGCTCTGGATAAAATGTAAATTATTCTGCCATTGTACTATGGTAACGCACAATTAATAAAGATGGTACCATATGATAATTTTTAAAAACATTTATCATAACCCTTACAAAAAAAGATTGAAGTTTTGAAACTGCAGTAAACATATAGTAACTGCAGTCGACTGTGGTAATTGTATGTCGCTCCGGATAAGAGCGTCTGCTAAATGACTAAAATGTAAAATTTATTTTGGATACAGTAATTCCAGAATAACTGCAGTGTACTGCAGTTGAACTGCAATTACAGTGCAAATTTACTGCAGAAAATAAACATGTTATTTTGCATTATTTGCAGCATACTGCAGTTATACTGCACTCTAAAATTGTATTTGCCACATGCGCCGAATACAACAGGTGTAGACCTTACAGTGAAATGCTTACTTACAAGCCCTTAATGAACAATGCAATTTTAAGAAAACAAGTGTTAAGTAAAAAATTGATAAAAATAATTAAAGAGCAGCAGTAAAATAACAGTAGGGAGGCTATATACAGGCGGTACCGGTACAGAGTAAATGTGCGGGGGCACCGGTTAGTCAAGGTAATTGAGGTAATATGTACATGTGGGTAGAGTTAAAGTGACTATGCATAGATAATAAACAGAGTAGCAGCAGTGTAAAAGAGGGGGTGGGGTGGAGGGGACAATGCAAATAGTCTGGGTAGCCATGATTAGCTGTTCAGGAGTCTTATGGCTTGGGGATAGAAGCTGTTAAGAAGCCTTTTAGACCTAGACTTGGCGCTCCGTTACCGCTTGCCGTGCGGTAGCAGAGAGAACAGTCTATGACTAGGGTGGCTGGAGTCTTTGACAATTTTTAGGGCCTTCCTCTGACACCGCCTGGTATAGAGGTCCTGGATGGCAGGAAGCTTGGCCCCAGTGATGTACTGGACCATACGCACTACCCTCTGTAGTGCCTTGCGATTGGAGGCCAAGCAGTTGCCATACCAAGCGGTGATGCAACCAGTCAGGATGCTCTCGATGGTGCAGCTGTATAACCTTTTGAGGATCTGAGGACCCATGTCAAAAATAGTCTCCTGAGGGGGAATAGGCTTTATTGTGCCCTCTTCATGACTGTCTTGGTGTGTTTGGACCATGATAGTTTGTTGGTGATGTGGACACCAAGGAACTTGAAGCTCTCAACCTGTTCCACTACAGCCCCGTCGATGAGAATGTGGGCATGCTCAGTCCTCTTTTTTCCACCTGTAGTCCACAATCATCTCCTTTCTCTTGATCACATTGAGGGAGAGGTTGTTATCCTGGCACCACACGGCCAGGTCTCTGACCTCCTCTCTATAGGCTGTCTCATCGTTGTCGTGATCAGGCCTACCACTGTTGTGTCGTCGGCAAACTTAATGATGGTGTTGGAGTCGTGCGTGACCATGCAGTCATGGGTGAACAGGGAGTACAGGAGGGGACTGAGCACGCACCCCTGAGGGGCCCCCGTGTTGAGGATCAACGTGGCAGATGTGTTGTTACCTACCCTTACCACCTGGGGGCGGCCCGTCAGGAAGTCCAGGATCCAGTTGCAGAGGGAGGTGTTTAGTCCCAGGGTCCTTAGCTTAGTGATTTGCTTTGAGGACACTATGGTGTTGAACGCTGAGCTGTAGTCAATGAATAGCATTCTCACGTAGGTGTTCCTCTTGTCCAGGTGGGAAAGGGCAGTGTGGAGCACAATAGAGATTGCATCATCTGTGGATCTGTTGGGCCAGTGTGCTGCAGTTATACTGCACTCTGACGGCAATCTTCTTTCGCAAGGGTATTGTGCATTACCATGGTATTTCCATGATCCACATCAATACCATGGTATAAATTATGCAATACCATGGTAATATTTAGGTACAATGGCAGTACCATGGTAGTGCCATCATACTTCAAGGCTAAAACCATGGTACATTTCCATGATACCATGGTATAAGTGAAGGTACCATTGTAGTACCATGGTATGAATGAAAGTACCATGGTACATTTTTATAAGGGCCCTGAGTCCAGGATGCAAAAATAGCCATTCAACCAGTTTTGAAAAGAGAAAACAGAGCATTCTGCGTCATTTAACTCCAATGTAAAGTGCAAGGCTGCCTATATTTGACCACAACTGTACTGTAATATTACAGGCCTACAAATATTAGGGTACCAAGCGGTAACTAGCCCCCCTAAGAATAATGTCTAATTGCTGACACAAAAAAGAAATGTTTGGAAATAAAATGTTATGTGGATGAAGGTCATGCTTAAGCGAATAATAGTTGTTTCATGAAATGTTGTTTTTAGAAAAGGGCCATTTTTTTAAAGTACCAGGGGTAATTGCCCAATGACTAGCCCAGTTAGCGCTAGTTTATGCTAACTTGCTAGCTAGCAACTTCATTAGCAGCCTCTCTAAACAAATTGATTATTTATCTTAAGGCTTTCCTACTTGTATATTTAAAAAACAATTATAGATCTAACTTCATTGGAATACAGTGGGGGAAAAAAAGTATTTAGTCAGCCACCAATTGCGCAAGTTCTCCCACTTAAAAAGATGAGAGAGGCCTGTAATTTTCATCATAGGTACGCGTCAACTATGACAGAGAAATGAGAATTTTTTTTCCAGAAAATCACATTGTAGGATTTTTAATGAATTTATTTGCAAATTATGGTGGAAAATAAGTATTTGGTCAATAACAAAAGTTTCTCAATACTTTGTTATATACCCTTTGTTGGCAATGACACAGGTCAAACGTTTTTTGTAAGTCTTCACAAGGTTTTCACACACTGTTGCTGGTATTTTGGCCAATTCCTCCATGCAGATCTCCTCTAGAGCAGTGATGTTTTGGGGCTGTCGCTGGGCAACACAGACTTTCAACTCCCTCCAAAGATTTTCTATGGGGTTGAGATCTGGAGACTGGCTAGGCCACTCCAGGACCTTGAAATGCTTCTTACGAAGCCACTCCTTCGTTGCCCGGACGGTGTGTTTGGGATCATTGTCATGCTGAAAGACCCAGCCACGTTTCATCTTCAATGCCCTTGCTGATGGAAGGAGGTTTTCACTCAAAATCTCATGATACATGGCCCCATTCATTCTTTCCTTTACACGGATCAGTCGTCCTGGTCTCTTTGCAGAAAAACAGCCCCAAAGCATGATGTTTCCACCCCCATGCTTCACAGTAGGTATGGTGTTCTTTGGATGCAACTCAGCATTCTTTGCCCTCCAAACACGACGAGTTGAGTTTTTACCAAAAAGTTATATTTTGGTTTCATCTGACCATATGACATTCTCCCAATCCTCTTCTGGATCATCCAAATGCACTCTAGCAAACTTCAGACGGGCCTGGACATGTACTGGCTTAAGCAGGGGGACACGTCTGGCACTGCAGGATTTGAGTCCCTGGCGGCGTAGTGTGTTACTGATGGTAGGCTTTGTTACTTTGGTCCCAGCTCTCTGTAGGTCATCCACTAGGTCCCCCCGTGTGGTTCTGGGATTTTTGCTTACCGTTCTTGTGATCATTTTGACCCCACGGGGTGAGATCTTGCGTGGAGCCCCAGATCGAGGGAGATTATCATTGGTCTTGTATGTCTTCCATTTCCTAATAATTGCTCCCACAGTTGATTACTTCAAACCAAGCAGCTTACCTATTGCAGATTCAGTCTTCCCAGCCTGGTGCAGGTCTACAATTTTGTTTCTGGTGTCCTTTGACAGCTCTTTGGTCTTGGCCATAGTGGAGTTTGGAGTGTGACTGTTTGAGGTTGTGGACAGGTGTCTTTTATACTGATAACAAGTTCAAACAGGTGCCATTAATACAGGTAACGAGTGGAGGACAGAGGAGCCTCTTAAAGAAGTTGTTACAGGTCTGTGAGAGCCAGAAATCTTGCTTGTTTGTAGGTGACCAAATACTTATTTTCCACCATAATTAGCAAATAAATTCATTAAAAATCCTACAATGTGATTTTCTGGAATTTTTTTCCTCAATTTGTCTGTCATAGTTGACGTGTACCTATGATGAAAATTACAGGCCTCTCTCATCTTTTTAAGTGGGAGAACTTGCACAATTGGTGGCTGACTAAATACTTTTTTCCCCCACTGTATATCTACAACTTTTTTCAAAATTCAAAAAGTTAGATCAACTTACCACAAAATCGTTGTGTTGAAATATCTGCAAAAGTTGTGATGACACAGAGGACATTTTTTGTTGAGCAAGAGCAGTGGCAGCCAGCGAAAGTGTTGGGAAAATAATTTGGTGACATCTTGTGGTCTTTATGTGAATTACAGGGGGGGGGGGGGGGGGCAGTTACCCAGGGGGCTAGTTACCCCCTAGTACCCTAGTAGTATTACAATTAAATAACACCAATGTGAAGTTAAAATGTGAGTGTGATCAGCAGAGAGTGAAATTACTCATGGTTGTGACGTAAGGTCATGAGAGGTGGGGGGGAAACCGAGTCAGATGATAGTAGGCGAAATCATCAGACCGGCTCAGCTGTCTCGAAGCCATCAACGCACCCATCAGCAAGTTTTCCGTTGCAGCCTGTGAAAACGGAGGAGCGCGCCAGCAAGCGACACTCGATGGATTATACAACGTAAATCAAGAAAAAGGCTGTGTTGACGCCAATCCGAACTAAAAAGGGAGAAAGAAAGCGCATTACAGGTAACAGTTCATTCAACCCGAGGTAATACTGACATTATTCACCCAGACATATTATAGGTCGTTTTAACAAGGGAAGAGTTGAAATTGTCTGCTTGATTGATTTATTCCTGAATGTTGAATTTCTACAATCTGTCTAATTAAGTAAACTAAGGAAAGTTCGAATATAACTTTGGTGCTGAAGCTGCCTACACTATAGTTTAACTTTTCTGAAACGCCAATAACTGTGAACAAATTACCCTAGAATAGTATTTTATGGATTGGAATAGCCAGCCACTGAATGGGCTCTTGGCCATATGACCCACATACATCTCCTTATTAACTGTGCCTGGAAGTGGAAAGTATTGCACATAATTCAATTCAGACCCTGGCCTTGTTCACTCATTATCATTAGACTGTTAAAATAGTTGTGCCTCCAAAGTGGAATGTCACCTCTGACTGAGTCAGTCTTTCACAGTCAGTCACAGGGCTGACATCACCCCACTCCCTCCAGCAGCAAGGCAACAAAGCTCTCATTCACTAGATTTGACTGTTTTCAGTTAAACTTAAGTGGCATGCACATTCTCCACTCCAATTACAAGACAAGGGAATCTGACAGTCAATTGTCGTGGCTTTCTCATTATGTTTCTGACATATTTATGCTTTTCTGGTTGTTTTGTGATTTCCCACATTCCTAGGGGGATTTGTCTTGCTGTCCACAGATGAATTTTGATCAGCCGCCTCCTTATGGGGGCCCTGGCACCTCTGCCCCAGGATACCCTGCCCCTACAGCACCTGGGTACTCTGCCCCCATGGCCCCTGGATACCAACCCCAGGGATACCAACCCCAAGGGTTCCCAGATCAGGGATACCCAGCCCAGGGATACCCTGCTCCGGGTTACCCACCAACAGATCCATCCTACTCTAACTTCCCCCCAGGACCCCCAGGTTTATACCAAGGGCAGCCAGGTTACCAGGGTTACCAGATGCCCCCTCAGCCACAGTTTGGATGGCAGGATACACCCCCTGGTGCACAAACGCATGGAGAGGCCCCTAAGAACACAGGTGAGATCTTGGAATTATGAAGCAGCTACGGAAATGAGTGCAAAGAGTAACCCACTGACCCACTTTTGTCTGGCTGTGTATCTGAATAGATGATTGTATACAGGGGTTAAATTGGGAATTCAGAGGTGGGGGAGCCCTAACTTGGGCAGGTTAAGCCAGGGTTGACTATAAGACTAGGGGTTAGAGATAGATCATATGCCAAGATTGGGGTTAGGGTTCTCTTTTGTTTTCGTAATGGGTTGCCAAATGACCTATGGGAACTCCTTACCCTTCACACGATGTGATTGAGATGCTTAATATCAAAGATGTTTACAGTCACGCCACACCCTTACTGTACCCATGTGACCTGTCACTATAAAAGGTAGTGTGGCGTGACATTCTGTCTTTCTTCAAGCTCACGTTTGTGTTTTACATTACGAGATTGCTATTAATCCCCTTCGGATTACTTTCTTACGGAATTACAATTCTTCAACGGGTAGTTGATTTTAATAAAATCAAATCAAATGTTATTTGTCACATGCGCCGAATACAACAGGAGTAGACCTTACTGTGAAATGCTTACTTACAAGCCCTTAACCAACAATGCAGTTTTAAGAAAAATAAGAGTTAAGAAAATATTTACTAAATAAAGGAACAACCAATAAAATAACAATAACGAGGCTATATACAGGGGGTACCGGTACCGAGTCAGTGTGCGGTGGTACAGGTTAGTCTAGGTAATTGAGGTAATATGTACATGTAGGTAGGGGTAAAGTGACTATGCATAGGTAATAAACAGCGAGTAGCAGCAGCATTAAAAAAGGAGACGCTCTTATCCAGAGCGACTTACAGTTAGTGAGTGCATACATTATATATTTGTATTTTTTCATACTGGCCCCCCGTGGGAATCGAACCCACAACCCATATGGCTTGGGGGTAGAAGCTGTTAAGAAGCCTTTTGGACCTAGACTTGGCGCTCCGGTACCGCTTGCGATGCGGTAGCAGAGAGAACAGTCTATGACTAGGGTGGCTGGAATCTTTGGCAATGTTTATGGCTTTCCTCTGACACTGCCTGGTATAAAGGTCCTGGATGGCAGGAAGGTTGGCCCCAGTGATATACTGGGCCGTACACACTACCCTCTGTAGCGCCTTGCGGTCGGAGGCCGAGCAGTTGCCATACCAGGCGGTGATGCAACCAGTCAGGATGCTCTCGATGGTGCAGCTGTAGAACTTTTTGAGGATCTGAGGACCCATGCCAAATCTTTTCAGTCTCCTGAGGGGGAATAGGCGTTGTCGTGCCCTCTTCACAACTGTCTTGGTGTGTTTGGACACCAACTCTCCCCCTCTCTCTTATTATTGTGCCTGCCCATACAAGCTAACTTTTATTGCATTTTGCCAAGCATTTCCATCCTTGTGTGTTAGCTAGCTAGTTAGCTCCGGGTCTATCCCATTACCTCAGAAGTTAGCTCGTAGCTAGCTAGCTAAGTTAGCCACACATACTTACCATAGTTAGCTTGTGTTGTACCTGTAGTTTGCGCTTGTTGACCCGCAGGGTCGTGCCAGTCCCCGCTTACATTTACATTTTAGTCATTTAGCAGACGCTCTTATCCAGAGCGACTTACAGTTAGTTAGTGCATACATTATTTTATTTTTCATACCCCCTGTGTGAATCGAACCCACAACCCTGACGTTGCAAACGCCATGCTCTATCAACTGAGCTACATCCCTGCCTTGACTGCCATACCAGCCCGTTGATCCAGCATTACCACTCCCTCGCTTGGAGTTTTGCTGTGATCACGGAGCTCAGCGGTGCTGTAGGCTACCGGTCCTCGCTTGACCGAGTCCACCAACGCAGAGACTGCCAGTTAGATAGCTTCATATAGGCAGGTGTTTCGAGCCCGGATACATATTTAGGCGGGAGTCTCGACCACGAAGCACGACGGGTCGGAGCCAACGGTAAGTATAACTTTTTCTTGATGCATTCGAAGCCGATACCGAGGCAATCGAAGCATAGACGAGACGCACTGAAACAAAAAGCTATTTTATTTGACATTTTTCTTGGAACACACTTCTCTTATGTGAAAATCTGTTCTTTGCACACTGATTCAGTGCTGTACACAGGATGTCATTCCACCCATGTCAGCAGTGTGAAAATCAACCAGTGGTGGAAAAAGTACCCAATTACATACTTGAGTAAAAGTAAAGATACCTTAATAGAAAATGACTCAAGTAAATGTGGAAGTCACCCAGTAAAATACTACTTAAGTAAATGTCTAAAGGTATTTGGTTTTAAATATACTTAAGTATCAAAAGTAAATGTAATTGCTAAAATATACTTAAGTATCAAAAGTAAAAGTGCATAATTGGACCATTTTCCTGTCCTGCTAAGCATTCAACATTTTATGAGTACTTTTGGGTGTCAGGGAAAATGTATGGAGTAAAATGTACATAATTTTCTTTAGGAATGTAGTGAAGTAAAAGTAAAATTTGTTAAAAAATATATAAATAGTAAAGTAAAGTACAGATACTCAAAAAAACTACTTATGTAGTGGCCTCCCGAGTGGCGCAGTGGTCTAAGGCACTGCATCGCAGTGCTAGCTGTGCCACTAGAGATCCTGGTTCGAATCCAGGCTCTGTCGTAGCCGGCCGCGACCGGGAGACCCATGGGGCGGCGCATAATTGGCCCAGCGTCGTCCAGGGTAGGGGAGGGAATGGCCGGCAGGGATGTAGAGCATGGCGTTTGCAACGCCAGGGTTGTGGGTTCATTTCCCATGGGGGGCCAGTATGAAAAATAAAATAATGTATGCACTCACTAACTGTAAGTCGCTCTGGATAAGAGCGTCTGCTAAATGACGTAAATGTACTTTAAAGTATTTTTACTGAAGTACTTTACACAACTGAAAACAACTCCCAGCCTCAGATGAGCACACACTTTGCGTTCTTTGCTTGGGAGCTGAACATGCTCAAGCGGCTGCACAGAGTAGCAGCTCTTGCACTCACTGTCAGAAATTCAAACCAAGAGCATTGAAATCTTGTTTGTGGGCTTTAGGGGTGGAGCCTCTGGATTCCCATCAGATGAGTCTGCCACACAGATCAGTGATCATTCCAAACGCTCCAGGTCTAATGACGGATCTCCCTCCCCTTGTATTTCGATGCACTGAGAAGGGCTGGAGATTAAGTCACTGGAAAGTCGTATAGCAACCATTGAGTCTGCCCTCAACCACATCCTGGCCAGGCTTCCCCCGCCGGTACCAAACCCAACCCATACCACTGAACAGAGTGTGGTTGTTGAATTGGATGACACTGACGTACTGTCCACTAGAGCTTCCCACTCTTATGACACAGACTATGAGCGCTCTGATGAGGCTAGAGTTGTCCCACAGCTCTAGCATCATCCAGTCCCAGCCTGCCGGCCTGGCAGTGACGGTCAAATAGAAAATATCCTTGTCTGAAATGTTGAGAGGGTAAGCAGGAACCTCAACATGGTACATGCACCTACTGCCATGGCATCCACATCGAAGTTTGATTAATTCAGTTCTTCAAAGATTGAGAAATCCATCCCATTGTTCAAAGACGTCGTGTGTGAGCTCCAATGCACTTGGAGCACGCCAAATGACAGAACCCCTGCCATGCCAAGCATATGCACTCGCTTAGCTACAGTTCATGGTGCAGATGAGAATGGTTTTGGCCATTTCCTCCATATGGACAAATAATTTGCTTCGCTTGTTCTGCCTGCTTCTCTCTGTGACAGTTCAGACCAAGAGCTGCCTAATAAATGATGCAGGGCATCTGATTGCTTCCTATGCAGGAACATGACAGCACTGCTTCAGCCGCTAGTCTTAGCAATTTGGCAGCGATACTTGCCTTCTATCAGAAGGAGCTGCAGGAACGCCTCTCTGATGATGCTGAGACCATGAAAGAACTGTCTACAGTTACAGACCTGCTCATACAATGCCTTCAGGGCAATGCTCAGATGGTTGGAAATCTTTGGCAACACTGTGTGTTGCACGGCGCCACCTATGGTTAGCGCAGGCCAAGCTCCCCAGCAAAGAGAAGGTTCCGCTCCTAGGTGTAACCATATCACCTGGCCAGACATTTGGCCCAGCAGCGGCACACCACCTCCAAGTTTCTAAGGAGGACAGAGAAGCACAGATGGAGATTCAGCGTCTCATTCCAAAGCCTAGAACGCATCAGCCAGCAAACCATAACCCCAGTCCCAGGGCCCCATCTGGGATGCCAAGAAACCAGGCTTGCTCCACATGCGGCCAATACAGCGCTGGTACAACAGACACAAAAGGGACAAACACAAAAAGCTGACAATTTCAATGAGTTGCTGGAGAGCAATACAATGGTGGTGCCTAGCACTTCAAACTCCCAGTGGAGTTCTCTTAGGCCCAGTTCACAACCGGGTGACTTTGACCACAGACACCTCCCTACAGTGATGGGGAGCAGTCTTGAACCAGTCAGGGGTCCATGGTGTATGGTCAGCACCATGGACAACAGCTTACATCAACATACTGGAGCTCAAGGTGGTTCATCTTGCACTCCTCCCAGTACGGAGAGGACAACATGTACTGATATGGACAGACAACACAACCGTGGTTGAACACATCAACCGTCAGGGCGGACTAAGGTCAATGGGACTACACCAGGTAGCAAGGGCGCTACTGCTTTGTGCAAACAGACACCTTACATTCCTCAGAGCAATACACCTGCTGGGGGTGGAGAATCAGGCAGCAGACCTTCTCTCCAGAGGAGGCCCTCTTCCTTCAGACTGGACGATACATCCCACAGTAGTGGAGATGATCTGGGCGTGATTCGAAAGGGCCATTGCCGATCTGTTCGCATAGCAAGACTCAACCCATAGTCTTATGTGGTTCTCCATAAAGGGTCCAGCAGCCCCACTCGGGGTTGATGCCCTGTCATACAACAGCCAAGGGAGCTGCTGTATGCGTTTCCACCAATTCCCTTACTCCATCAGGTCTTGAGGAAGATCAGTCTCGAGAGCGCGTCAGTTCTACTAGTTGATCCACATTGGCCACAGCATCACTGGTTTTTAGATCTTGTACAGCTAACAACCTCCCAACCATGGGAACTCCCTCTTCGAGCGGACCTCCTGTCACAAGCAAAGCTAGCACCCCAAACCCAGCACACTGAAGTTGTGGATGTGGCACCTGAACGTGACTGCCTTGTAGATGCAGGGTTGCCCTCTTTGTTAATTAATAAAATTCAGGCAGGCAGGGCATCCTCTATGCGAAACCTGTATTCCTACAAGTGGAATGTGTTCAGGAAGTGGTGTGCCGGCCATGCAGAATCGCCATCTTCCTGCCCAATTTCTGTCATTTTGACTTTCCTCCAGGAGCTTATGGTTGCAGGGAAGTCCCCATCTACATTGAAAGTGTGTACGGCAGCCATCTCTATGGGTCATGACCAGGTTGCGGGTGCATTACTAGGGGCACACCCTCTATCGCAATTCATGAAAGGTGTCCTCAGGCTACGGCCCCCCAAGGCTCCTTCAGTACCCTCATGGGAGTTAGATGTTGTCTTACGATCACTTATGAGCCCACCATTTGAGCCCCTGTCTTCACTTGAGCTATGGGAGCTCTCAGTTAAGTCTGGTTTTCTATTGGCTATTGTTTCAGCCAAGCATGTTGGAGAATTACATGCGCTTTCTACCCATCCTTCATGCCTCACTTTAGCAGAAGATTGCTCTAAGGCAGTACTTTGGCCAAATCCAACATTCTTACCTAAGGTCCTTTCATCATCACATGCTAACCAGCCCTTAATCATAGCTGCATTTCACCCGCCTCCCCACTCCTCACAGGAGAGTTGTGAGTTGCATACACTTTGCCCGGTTATGGCATTGAGTGCCTATCTTGCTGCAACAAGAACTGTTTGTCAAACAAAACAGCTTTTTGTATGTTATGGCGAGAACACCAAAGGGCGCGCTGTCTTGAGGCAGAGACTGGCACATTGGATTACCAATGCAGTGTCAAAATCATATACTGCAGCAGGTAGACCAACTCCAGACGGCAGGGTTATAGCCACTTCATGGGCCACGTTCAGAGATGCCTCTCTGGATACTATCTGTGCTGCTGCAAGTTGGGAAACACCCATGACTTTCATGAGGTACTACAGACTCAATGTTATGTCCACACCATCAGTGGGGTCTGTGGTTCTGAACACGCACACTCTCTCAACCCAGATACAGTAAGTGAGCATACTGTGAACCTTGTACATACCTATCAACCATCAGTGAGATGGATGTTCAATACAGAGGCCGTCCACTCTTGGTGCTGTTGCACCCAATTGAAGCCTGATGTTGTAAGTTCTAGCTTTCAGCTTGCTCACAGTTGAAATTCTGTTGGGTAATTATAATCTGTTGCATCCTGTGGTGGATACAAGGACGACCCAGTTAAATGGACTAAGTTAAATGGTGAGTTATCCCACTCTGTTGTCCAAACAACCTCTTTGGTACAGCCACTTCCGTAGGTCGTTTGCCGACCCGTTATAAAAACGAAAGAGAATGTTGGGTTACGGATATAACCTTGGTGCTCTGAGTAGAGTAACAGGTCGCCAAACTTTCATGTTGTTCCTCCACCTCCGTGGGGTTCGAGTGAAGTAATAGACAGTATTACAGCAGGTAGCTTAGTGGTTAAGAGCGTTGTGCCAGTAACCGAAAGGTTGCTGGTTCTAATCCCCGAGCCGACTAGGTGAAACATCTGTCTGTGCCCTTGAGCAAGGCACTTAACCCTAATTGCTCATGTAAGTCGCTCTGGATAAGAGCGTCTGCTAAATGACAAAAAATGTTTAAAAAATAATGTTAAAAAAATGTCACGATACACCGCCTTTTATAGTGACAGGTCACGTGAGTACTGTGTGGCATGGCTGTAAACATCTTTGATATTTAGCATCTCAATCACATCGCATGAAAGGAAAGGAGTTCCCATAGGTCGTTTGGCGACCCGTTACTCTACTCAGAGAACCAAGGTTACATCCGTAACCCAACGTTATCACAAGCTTAGGGTTAGGTTAACCCTAACCTTTTTTTATCATACTCTTATTCTACTTTTCTCTTTGGACCCGTAAGGTGCTGGCTTTCCTTTTCAGCTTTTTTTTTTCTGGATCAAAATGGTTGTGGGCGTGTTGTGGCGTGACAGTGGGCGTGGCCAATGGCGTCGTCAACGACCAAAAATGTTTGAGGCCCACCTGTTTGCAGCAATGACAAAATGTTGCTGTTGTAAAGATATTTTCTTGCAATCTATACATTTTGCCATTGGGCGGAGATAACATTTTGCAGTTTTAAACCTAATTTCCTGCAATTCTACACATTTTACAATGGGGGCTGAGATAAAAAATTACAGTTTTAAAACTAATTTCTTGCAATTCTACACAGCTTGACATGGGGCTGAGAGAACATTTGCAGTTTTAAAGCGACATTATATATACAAAAGTATGTGGACACCCCTTCAAATTAGTGGATTCGGCTATTTCAGCCACACCCATGCTGACCGGTGTATAAAATAGAGCACACAGCCATGCAATCTCCATAGACAAACATTGGCAGTAGAATAGCCTTACTGAAGAGCTCAGTGACTTTCAATGTGGCACTGTCATAGGATGCCAGCTTTCCAACAAGTCAGTTCATCCAATTTCTGCCCTGGTAGAGCTGCCCCGGTCAACTGTAAATGCTGTTATTGTGAAGTGAAAACATCTAGGAGCAACAACGGCTCATCTGCGAAGTGGTAGGCCACACAAGCTCACAGAACAGGACCGCCGAGTGCTGAAGCGCGTAAAAATCGTCTATCCTCGGTTGCAACACTCACTACCGAGTTCCAAACTGCCTCTGGAAGCAATGTCAGCACAAGAACTGTTCGTCGGGAGCTTCATTAAACGGGTTTCCATGGCCGAGCAGCCGCACACAACTCTGGAGCAGTGGAAACGCGTTCTCTGGAGTGATGAATCATGCTTCACCATCTGGCAGTGCGACGGACAAATCTGGGTTTGGCGGATGCCAGTAGAACACTACCTGCCCGAATGCATAGTGCCAACTGTAAAGTTTAGTGGAGGAGGAATAATGGTCTGGGGCTGTATTTCATGGTTTGGGTTAGGCCCCTTAGTTCCAGTGAAGGGAAATCTTAACGCTACAGCATACAATGACATTCTAGGCGATTCTGTGCATCCAAGTTTGTGGCAATAGTTGGGGGAAGGCCCTTTCCTGTTTCAGCATGACAATGCCCCCATGCACAAAGCAAAGTCCATACAGAAATGGTTTGTCGAGATCGGGGTGGAAGAACTTGACTGGCCTGCACAGAGACCTGACCTCAACCCCATCGAACACCTTTGGGATGAATTGGAACGCCGACTGCGAGCCAGGCTTAATCACCCAACATCAGTGCCTGACCTCACTAATGCTCTTGTTCCTGAATGGAAGCAAGTCCCCACAGCTATGTTCCAACATCTTGTGGAAAGCCTTCCCAGAAGAGTGGAGCAGCAAAGGGGGGACCAACTCCATATTAATGACCATGATTTTGTAATGAGATGTTCGACGAGCAGGTGTCCACATACTTTTGGTAATGTAGTGTAATTTCCTTAAATGTTACACATTTTGCCATGACTTATGCTATCTGAGTTACTCAAACATTATAACAAAATCAAGAAAGGGGATAACTAGTCAGTTGCACATCCAAAATGTTTATTCTGCATTTAACCCAACCCCTCTGAATCAGAGAGGTGCGGGGGCTGACTTAATCGATGTCCAAGTCATCGGCGCCCAGGGCCCCATACCATGACAAAAATAAGGGCCCCGTACCATGACAAAAATAAGGCCCCATACCATGACAAAAATAAGGCCCCATACCATGACACAAATAAGGGCCCCAAACCATGACAAAAATAAGGCCCCATACCATGACAAAAATAAGGCCCATACCATGACAAAAATAAGGGCCCCATACCATGACAAAAATAAGGGCCCCATACCATGACAAAAATAAGGGCCCCATACCATGACAAAAATAAGGGCCCCATACCATGACAAAAATGATCCTGAATGCATCATTTTGGGGAATTTTAGACTGTCTAGCTTTTATTTTGGTGATTGTTAGTACTCAAAGATGATCTCATAAAAAAATATATAGGCCCATTATCTTCTCTACGTTCTTTACATTGAGTGTACGAAACATTAGGAACACCTGCTCTTTCCATGACATAGACTGACCAGGTGAATCCAGGTGAAAGCTATGATCCCTTATTGATGTCACTTTTAATCAGTGTAGTATCCACTTCAATCAGAGTAGATGGAGAGGAGACAGGTTAAAGAAGGATTTTTAAGCCTTGATACAATCGAGACATGGATTGTGTATGTGTGCCAATCAGAGGATGGATTGGCAAGACAAACATTTTTTGTGCCTTTTGAACGAGGTATGGTAGTAGGTGCCAGGCGCACTGGTTTGTGCCAAGAACTGTAACGCTGCAAGGTTTTTCAAGCTCAACAGTTTCCCGTGTGTATCAAGAATGGTCTTCCACCCAAAGGACATCCAGCCAACGTGACACAACTGTTGGAAGCATTGGAGTCAACATGGGCCAGCATCCCTGTGGAATGCTTTCGACACCTTGTAGAGTCCATGCTCCGGCGAATTGAGGCTGTTCTGAGGGCAAAAGAGGGGGCAACTCAATATTAGGAAGGTGTTCCTAATGTTTGGTATACTCAGTGTATATTTTGTTTTAGTTCTTTAAGTTTACACTGAAAAAGGTTTTCCATCCCGAAAAATATTGTCTAATTTCTATGTCTCTGTTTGGATTTAGGCGGCCCATAAAATAAATATTAGGCAGCTCACCCAATACTTTTCTATTCAGAAAAACCCTGCCTTTGACCCAAGGAGCAGGAGCCTGGTTTTGTGAAGCTGAGGCACAACTTAACCACTGCCTGTACATAGTATGAAGAAAAAATATATATATGTATGCACTCACTAACTGTAAGTCGCTCTGGATAAGAGCGTCTGCTAAATGACTGAAATGTAAATGTAAATACAGTATACATTGGGGAAAAAAGTATTTAGTCAGCCACCAATTGTGCAAGTTCTCCCACTTAAAAAGATGAGAGGCCTGTAATTTTCATCATAGGTACACGTCATCTATGACAGACAAAATGAGAAACAAAATTCCAGAAAATCACATTGTAGGATTTTTACTGAATTTATTTGCAAATTATGGTGGAAAATAAGTATTTGGTCAATAACAAAAGTTTCTCAATACTTTGTTATATACCCTTTGTTGGCAATGACACAGGTCAAACGTTTTCTGTAAGTCTTCACAAGGTTTTCACACACTGTTGCTGGTATTTTGGCCCATTCCTCCATGCAGATCTCCTCTAGAGCAGTGATGTTTTGGGGCTGTCGCTGGGCAACACGGACTTTCAACTCCCTCCAAAGATGTTCTATGGGGTTGAGATCTGGAGACTGGCTAGGCCACTCCAGGACCTTGAAATGCTTCTTACGAAGGCACTCCTTCATTGCCCGGGCGGTGTGTTTGGGATCATTGTCATGCTGAAAGACCCAGCCACGTTTCATCTTCAATGCCCTTGCTGATGGAAGGAGGTTTTCACTCAAAATCTCACGATACATGGCCCCATTCATTCTTTCCTTTACACGGATCAGAAGTCCTGGTCCCTTTGCAGAAAAACAGCCCCAAAGCATGATGATTCCACCCCCATGCTTCACATTAGGTATGGTGTTCTTTGGATGCAACTCAGCATTCTTTGTCCTCCAAACACGACGAGTTGAGTTTTTACCAAAAAGTTCTATTTTGGTTTCATCTGACCATATGACATTCTCCCAATCCTCTTCTGGATCATCCAAATGCACTCTAGCAAACTTCAGATGGGCCTGGACATGTACTGGCTTAAGCAGGGGGACACGTCTGGCACTGCAGGATTTGAGTCCCTGGCGGCGTAGTGTGTTACTGATGGTAGGCTTTGTTACTTTGGTCCCAGCTCTCTGCAGGTCATTCACTAGGTCCCCCCGTGTGGTTCTGGGATTTTTGCTCACCGTTCTTGTGATAATTTTGACCCCACGGGGTGAGATCTTGCGTGGAGCCCCAGATCGAGGGAGATTATCAGTGGTCTTGTATGTCTTCCATTTCCTAATAATTGCTCCCACAGTTGATTTCTTCAAACCAAGCTGCTTACCTATTGCAGATTGTCTTCCCAGCCTGGTGCAGGTCTACAATTTTGTTTCTGGTGTCCTTTGACAGCTCTTTGGTCTTGGCCATAGTGGAGTTTGGAGTGTGACTGTTTGAGGTTGTGGACAGGTGTCTTTTATACTGATAACAAGTTCAAACAGGTGCCATTAATACAGGTAACGAGTGGAGGACAGAGGAGCCTCTTAAAGAAGAAGTTACAGGTCTGTGAGAGCCAGAAGTCTTGCTTGTTTGTAGGTGACCAAATACTTATTTTCACCATAATTTGCAAATAAATTCATAAAAAATCCTACAATGTGATTTTCTGGATTTTTTTTCCTCAATTTGTCTGTCATAGTTGACATGTACCTATGATGAAAATTACAGGCCTCTCTCATCTTTTTAAGTGGGAGAACTTGCACAATTGGTGGCTGACTAAATACTTTTTTTCCCCACTGTATGCATAAATCAACTATTTTTATAGAAAGGATAATGCTTGCTTTCATTATTCTTGATGACTAGTTGAGGTGCAGAACTGTCAGTGATATTTGTAGAGTAGGCCAGTACAACTCAATGAACACTAATATATAATTTTCCCAGCATGGAGACAGTCTGGGCCAGGCAATCTCTGGCTTTGTGACGAGGCCAAAGTGATTAAATGGCTTTGAATGCTCATAGGCATGAAATTCAACTTAATCACGCCACCCATTGAAGGGATATGACACTAATGGCAGAACTGCTGGCTTGATCCATTTTCCTTCGGTCCCTGCCTCTGACAGTGGTCACCCCTAATCAATGTAGTTCCACTCAGTGGGAGTCTGATCAGACCCCAGGGGCATCCAATTCCAGCTCCCAGTCTAAACCCATCTCTCTCTTGCTGGAAGTGAGGGTTTGTGGGTCTGCCCACACATTGACTATACTAGTGCCTGGACAGTAATACGAATTCATGTCTGATAGTTAATGAGTGTCGTAACATGGAGTGGCCTAGCTCTTGCCAATTACTGGTGTAAGTGTCTAAATACTGGACACAAGCTTTTTGTTTTTCCAACATTATGAACATGCATGTGTGTCAGTGGAGGCTGCTGAGGGGAGGATGGCTCATAATAATGGCTGGAACGGAATCAATGGAATGGCATGGAACACCTGGAAACCATGTGTTTGATGTATTTAATACCATTCCACTCCAGCCATTACCACGAGCCTGTCCTCCCCAATTAAGGTGCCACCAACCTCCTGTGATGTGTGTAGATAAGAGGGACTGGGAATACAGCGTTGAATAACTTCTCTTTGTCTTCGTCTCTATCAGTGTATGTGGTGGAGGACAGGAGTCGAGATGGCGGAGGGGAGCACGCCTGTCTCACGGCCTGTTGGACGGCCCTGTGCTGCTGCTGTTTGTGGGACATGATGACCTGATCACTGAGCCTGACGAGACGAGACGACCTCACCATGTCCTCCCCAGAGAAATCTACCACGGTGTAAAACCGTCTGGAAGTTTTAACTGATCTTTTACTTCCTGTCTCGTTGTCTTATTTGTTGTAACTTTATTATGCTTGCTAAATTATTGCACACATGACTTTGTACATCATACGCCAACTAAAAACCTAGCCTGAACACTCAAAGTACTAAAGCTAACTTTCGTTTTTTTTAATATTGACACGTCTTCACCGAAGAAAAATGTATATTTAAAAAAAAAATCAGTTTAATTATTAACAGTTTATATTGAATTATATTTGTTTGTTTTTCATATTGAAGATGTTGGAAAATTAAGTTTCTCTTTCATCCCCTCCTTTTAAATATTTGCTTTTCATGGTAAAGAACTAGACTGAACAAAAATATAAACGCAACATGTAAAGTGTTGGTCCCATGCTTCATGAGCTGAAATAAAAGATCCCCGAAATTTTCCATACACACAAAAAGCTTATTTCTCTCAAATGTTGTGCACAAATTTGTTTACATCCCTGTTAGTGAGCATTTCTCATTTGCCAAGATAATCCATCCACCTGACAGGTTTGGCATATCAAGAAGCTGATTAAACAGCATGATCATTACACAGGTCCTCCTTGTGCTGGGGACAATAAAAGGCCACTCTAAAATGTGCAGTTTTGTCACAACACAATGCCACAGATATCAAGTTTTGAGGGAGCATGCAATTGGCATGCTGACTGCAGGAATGTCCACCAGAGAACTGAATGTTAATTTCTCTACCATAAGCCGCCTCCAATATTGTTTTAGAGAATTTGGCAGTACGTCCAACCAGCCTCACAACCGCAGACCACGTGTAATCACGCCAGCCCAGGACCTCCACATCTGGCTTCTTCACCTGCGGGACAATCTGAGACCAGCCACCCAGACAGCTGATGAAACTGAGGAGTATTTCTGTCTGTAATAAAGCCCTTTTGTGGGTGGGGAAAAACTCATTCTGATTGGCTGGGCCTGGCTCCCCAGTGGGTGGGTCTATACCCATGGCTGCGCCCCTGCCTAGTCATGTGAAATCCATAGATTTGGGCCTAATTTATTTATTTAAGTTGACTGATTTCCTTATATGAACTGTAACTCAGTAAAATCGTTGAAATTATTGTATGTTGCGTTTATATTTTTGTTCAGTATATGTAAGATAACTAGGGAACTTCATTTTTCTCCACAAAATAAGTTTAATAATTCAGACAACAGACTTTACTTGTAGTAGTTAGTCAAAGGAGTTACTGCAGTTAAAACCAGTTATAGCTAGCTTATAGGTTTACAGCACCGGAGGTTGGTGGCACCTTAATTGTGGAGGATGGGCTTGTGGTAATGACTGGAGCGGAATAGGTATAATGGTATTAAATACATCAAACACAATTTTCCATGTGTTTGATGCCATTCCATTGATTCCGTTCCAGCCAATATTAAGAGCCGTCCTCCCATCAGCAGCCTCCAATGGTTTACAGTTAGAGCTATACTATACACATTTAAATATGTGCCTTTTAGCTGTGTGTTTTAGTCAGGGGCCTAGGTTTGCACAACTTATTTTGGGCAGTGCTTCTCACCCCTCTGGCTTAACGCTCTCATGTGGGTTGAGTGTGGGGCCAAGGAGGTCTGTGATTCTATTTCTGAAAGGTCATTCTGTGAGTTGAGATTTGAGCCCTGTTTATACCTGGTGCTAACATGTGTCCTGTGTCCTGATCTTGTCCACATTCTGATCAGCATCAGTTATTTTAATCATCTACACCTGTCTAAAAATGTGGGCCCAATCAGAATGTGGAAAAGATCAGGACACATGTTCGCACCAGGGTATAAACAGGGCTTTGGACAGGGAGCAGTGAGTTTGATCTGAAAATAGCTGCAAAGGGGGAGGTGTAAGTCGTTCAGAACAACAGTCCGGACTGCTGAGTATCTCTGCTTACCCCTGTTCTATAGCGGTAGATGATTCTAAGGTCATGGAGGGGCTCAGCCCTATGTCATGTCAATGGAGATGTTAATGATTACATCTGCTTGTTAGCTTGGAGTCCCAACCTCACACTTCACTGCAGTACTCCAGTCTTTCATATACATTAGTGCCGGAGGGTCAAAGATGCTTCTGGCAGGTGCCAATTAAAATTGTACACATAACCTGGGAGCAATGAGAACCCACTGCAGAAGAGGTTTGCCTCCAATGACCTCAATTTGAATAATACAATACCTGCCTTTAATATACATTTACCTCAGTACTACAAAGGAAGCCAATTTTACCTGTCAATCAGTATTTGACAGATTAAATTGCTTTGATTTATTCACAATTTGCTTAATTTAGGCTAATGACAAAAATACTGTAAGTGCTCAATGGAGGTTGAGGGTAGGTAGTTCCCAAATAGTCTCCCAAATGACCCTCAGGAAAGCACGTCGATTCACAGCTGCTTGCTGAAAGTGGAAAAATAAGTTCATATAACATGAAAAAACACGTTTATTCTGATAAACCTTCCACATAATCCTCGTCCTAGTGTAAAGAATGTTTCATGATACCTATTCATGTACATATTGACATCCATACTGTGGTTCTTCACAGTGAAAATCTAATTTTACAGATATGGTTGGTTACAGAGATGCCACTAGGTAAAAAATGAATTCAAAGCAGTTTAAAAGGGGATGTTTGAGTTTTGGCAATCAAATGTAATAAGATCAGTATGTAAACATCCCTTCTATGGATCTTCACAGAACAATAGTTAAGCCACCTTTGAGAAATGTACAAATTAGACAGCTTTCAGGACATGGGTCTCTGTTGCTGAATGAATGTGAATGTACACATTTAACTTGGTAATGTATAGGAGAAACAGGTTTCACAGTTGTAAAGACTAAAAAATGTAAACAATAGAAAAACACAACATACACCATATTTTAGGTAGCCCTTTACTTGACACCCAGTGTCATAACCTGTCATAACCTGTCATAATATGGTCAAAACACTGTCATTTGTCTTGTCCTGCTCCTGAAATCTGCTCCTGCATTCATCCCAGTCATCAGCAACAGATCATCAGGGTAGGTGCATGTCTGACATCAATGTGTGCGCAATTACAATGATAATTGAATATGGTCAATTTAAAACAAATGTTATATAACAAACATACTGTTGACATATAGGCTATGGTGTAATGGAATGTTTTGCCTTGTGTGGTAGGTTTGGTGGGTTTTGACACTTGTAGGTGTCATAACCAGCCATAAGATAATGCAATATATGTCACAATAGGTCTAAATATGTGTCATGACAGTGTTATGACCATATTATAACAGGTTATGACAAGTTATGTCAGATGTTATGACATATTATGACATGGCTATGACCGTTTAATAATGTGTTATGATGCGGGTATCAAGTAAAGTGTTACCATATTTGATCTGTAATATGTCTTGGGCTGCAAATTTAAATAAAAAAATGTGAATTGAGAATACTTTAATATATATATATATATTTTAAAAGACATATTTCATCCTCAATACAAATTCTTCATGATTGTCATATAGTGCAAACAAAAAGAGCAAGAAAAAACAACTATCCTTTGATTCCATTTGTATTTTTCTTGAAATTGTGAGAGATGGTTTCCTGACTTATCTTGGATAAGTCAACAGGAGTGCCCAAGTGAATGTCTTGTTTCAAAGTCTACAGCACAGGAACATACAAATCTACATATATGTCATATCCTCAATCGCTGTTGTTAAATTAAACCATATTTTACTATGTACTCTGAATGAAGAACAATTGAGCATCCTTAAACATTGCTCATGGTTATGATGGTGTTGGCAAGTGATGGCTCTATGTTCTTCAGATAGTGGCCTGAGACAGTTCAAGAGTTGTTTAGCCATTAGAAATAAAAGCCTTGACTGTGTTGTCATTGTCAGTGCTGTGCAGGATTCGTCTGATAAGCTGTTGGAATAGCAGTTAACCTCATTGGCATCAATACCAATCCCTCAAAAAAGAGTGACACATATTTTCTATTTTTTCCCTCATAAAAAAGTCAGTACAGTTCATATCATCAGTAGTTAAGGGTGCTTTTTCAAATCATAGTCTGAACTCATTCAGGCGTTGTTTTTGCCTTCAGCAAGACATCGGTTTTGTGAGATTGTGTCCTCTCAGATGCGCCTGCAGCACTGTCAGGGAAACCCCATGTTTACTCTCCCTAGGAGATGAAGTATCAGAGGGGCTGTGTTGTGTTGTACTCTGTTACCTCCTGCCCATCTCGTTCTGTCTGAGGAACTGGATGTTGCTGCTGCTGTCTGCCAGTTCTGGGTACTGCTCCACAGGCAGCACATAGTACCCATCGTAACCTGGCACCTTCCCTGCTGCCAGGAGCTGCTGCCGCTCTCCCTCTGCCCACAGCCTCCCTCCCTCTCTGCTCTCTCTCAGAGACTGCTGCTCCCTCATCCAGGCCCCCGACAGGGCCCTCTGGTGGGCTTGCTCCAGCAGGCGACCCCGCTCCTTCTCCAGCACGTCAGCCGCCAGGCCGTAACGTACACTCAGGGACAACGCTACCGTGTGGATCTCCACGGTGACGCCCCGACGAGAGCGCCCGCTGACGGTCACGTTGACGCCATTCTCCAGGGCTTTCCTCCCACTGCTCAGCCCCAGAGACAGCAGGTCACTGTCAGCCAGGCCCAGCTTCACAAAGAAGTGGCAGTCCTTCCCGTCTATGGTGTAGTGGGTTCCCTCCAGATAGATGGCGTTGTTCAGGACTTGGGCCACCTTACGGCTGTCCTCACTGGCCAGGCCGGACACTCCCGTCACCACATGGCCCTCCTTAATGGCCAGCATCATGCCCCGGCCCACGATGGGGATCTTCGTGCCGAACCAGTACCCAGGCTTGTCCCGTTTGGCCCGGCGCTCCTTGTTGAGCAGCCTCCCCTCCAGGGCCATGAAGGCCTGGTTGTGGCGCTCTGCTGCATGCTGTACCCCTGTGATCAGCTGGAGACAGAGCAGAGGGTCAGCCAGTCACTTGATTGTTTTGTTTAAATTAATAAACATAAAATACATGGAGATTTGCCTGTGTAGTCCCAGTAATCAGTAGCTCAAATACGTATTTGATAAATAACTCACCTGAGCAGTCTCACAGTCCTGGCTTGCCAATAGTTCATAAGGCGGGTCAACAAAATACATGGGGTGTCTGGGGAAGCCTGGTATGATGTTACTGAGCTGGAAACCAAACATCACCAGCCAGCTCTTCACATCTGCAAAATAGGGCAAGCGTATTAATGAATTAAAACATGTCAAGATGTCATAACAACATACTTACAGTACCTTACTTGATGGATCTTTTTTCATAACAGGTCAAAAAAAAAGCTAACACAATCATCCTTACCTGTCACATAGCTCTTGATGTCTATCATATCACTGAGTGGGTTGTTGTTCTTGAACATGTACAGATTGAACGGGGACGGCTCCTTGCCAATTTTAGGTAGGAGTTTATGGTCTGGAGCAGTCCATCTGCCTGCCAGCACATCGTAGTCCCTCTGGCCAAAGTGCACCAGCTTGGTGAGTGGGTCGTAGAGCCCCCCGTGGAAGCCCACCACCATGTTGAAGTCAGGGTTGGAGTCGTGGTACACCTCCCCGTAGGCAGTGTACTGGAGCTGCTTGACCATCTGTCCGTTGCTGCTGAAGACGGCGAGCGGCGTGCCCGTGTTGTCCGAGGCGATGTAGTACTCCTCCCCGCCGGTCACCTCCATGGCAAACAGATGGCCCTGCAGGTCGTAGTAGAAAGAGGTGATCTCCCCTCCAGAGTGGTTGTACACGTGGGTTGATCCTGCCGGGGTAGTTGAGATCTGCGTAGAAGAACTGCAGGTGCTCTCCCTCGTTGGTCTTCCTGGAGACGCGGCGGCCCAGGCCGTCGTAGCGGTAGCGGACGCTCCACCCCCCCGGTGTGCGGCTGTACGCCTGCTCCAGCAGCCCGTTGGAGTTGTAGATGAAGACGTCGGCGCCACGCTGGCTCAGGACACCGTCCTCATCCACGCGGTACTGCATGTCGCCCAGGCGGGTGATGCGGTCGCGCAGGTCGTAGCGCAGCGGCAGCAGGCGGGCGCTGTTCCCAGGGTTCAGCAGGTGCAGGTTGCCGTTCAGGTCGTAGCTGTAGCGCCAGGTGGACCAGTCGTTGACTTTGACCCCGACAAGCTGTCCGTCCCCGTCGTACTCATAGCGGTACTGTGTTGTGTTAGCATACGGCCCGATCTTCAGCTCTCTCTTGATGACCCGGCCCATGCTGTCATACTGTACCGTCATCCAGTACATGAGCGAGCGGAAGATCTCGTACTGCACCTCTTTGATGCGGCCGTGGGCGTCAAAGTGCTTGCTGAGGGTCATCACTGCCGTGGTGATTATCTGATTAACGTCATAGTAGATAATGCCAAACTTGCCAAAGTGCTCCACCTTGCCTGAGATGTCATCGTAGCGGTAGAGGTCCACGGGCAGGGGCGTCTCGCCGATCACAGGCTTGATGCTGGCCACACGGAAGCTGTTATCGTGGTAGGTGTAGTCAAAACGGGCGTTGACCATGCCCTCCTCAGAGAAGCGGTACATCTGTTTGTCCACTAGGGGGCCTACTTTACGGTATCGGATGGTGCAGGAGAATCCCCCACTCTGCAGGTTAACCATCTTCAACACTCCGGCTGTCTCGTCGTAGCCGAACGTCACAGCTGTGCCGTCGTACAGAACCTCAGACAGCTTGGCCAGCTTGCCATACTTATAGATGACGCTTCGACCCGTGCCCAGGTAAAAAGTGGCACGGGGTCGTCCGTCTTCGCTGAAGTCGTGGATGACGGTGGCGTTACTCTCGGGAGGGTTGTAGATGTTGCGGATGTAGCCGATGGACACGTGGGTGGACATGGTGTGTCTGGCCATGCTGGGCATGGTGACAGAGGTGAGACGCCCTGAGGTGTCAAACTCAAACACATACTGCCTCTGACTCTGCTGGAGGAGCAGCACCATGGACTGGGGAGGAAGAAAGAGAATAACTTCAAACAACAAAACTCAGGGACAGGCAAGAGTAAAAACTCTGTTCCCAGGCAGCTTACAGCACACACACAGACACATCCAGTAGTATAGCAGAATGCCTCACCTTATCCAGATAGCTGAAGCGCCAAACCTTCCCGTCCACAAAGGTGCGTGAGAGGATGCGTCCGAAGGTGTCAAACTCGCTCCTCTGGCTCATGCTGCCTCTCTGCAGGCCCACCAGGTGTCCGGTGGGGGAGTAGGACACGTTGACCACAGCCAGGCTGCTGCTGGGAAGCCAGGTGGCTGGACGGCCCTGCTGGTCGTACATGATCCTCAGCGTGAACTTGCGGTGGTCGTCATAAATCTTCTCTGTGCGAGTGTTGCGGTCAAAATCAATGGAGAGGAGGTTCCTGCCATGGGCCTGTGCAGAGTGTGAGGGAGGACATACAGTAGGTACAGTCAGGTCAAAAATGGTTGGCACCTGACTGTACATGAGACATGAGAGGAAGACATCCTAAGCCTGTAAAACCATTTGCATTCTGATAAAATAGGATGTTTTTATGGGTGAAAAACTCAATTTCCTCTCTTTTGCTAACTAGCAATGCTAGTACAAGCAGAGCTGGCTGTGTATCATATATAGTTAAAAACAACAATATTACTCTCCAAATCCTATATTTTAGCTCTATTTTCCTTCTCAGTGACACATGCTACCATACAGAGAGGGACTTCAGTTTGACAGAGAGCAAGCTGCATTGATTAAAAAACCTCCAGAAATGGATTGACATTAGAGACTGAGCACTTTAAGTGCATTGTGTCCAGCTTACCCTCAGCTTCCTGCCATAGACGGTCACTTTGCTCTTGATGAGTTCCTTCCTCATCCTCCACTCGATAGAGTTCAGCCCGCTGTCGGTGGGCAGACTGATGTTGCGCTGACCAATGGTAGGGCTGACTGAGCCGGCTAGGATATGGGGCTCTGTGTGGAAGCTGAGGCCCATGCCATTGGCATACGATACTCTCAGAGTACCATTGTAACAGAACTGGTAGTTGTTCCGTACTTGGTCTGCAGGGGGAGCAGCACACACACACACACACACACACACACACACACACACACACACACACACACACACAGGTTGGATTAGAAGTGAGAAACTGAGGGCACGTTTTATTACAGAGAAGACATTACATTTGATCTGATTGAATGCTCTGCATTAGGGGAAATGCGGTCTCTGGGGCTGGATCTGTGTACTTTTCTCCCAGACAATAACAAGTATCCTCTCTCATAATGACATGACCAAAGATAAGAGGGTTTTTAGTCTCAGCAAAATGCAGAACATGAGACTTTTATTCCATTTATATGCAGTAATGAGATCATGTACTACATTTGAGGAGGAAAGGTACCTGGAAGCAAAATAATCCATGGAGTTTAACGCGGGAAACTTCCCGAACACGTCTAACCAGACAAGAGTACTCAAAACCAGCTTTTAACGGCTTTCAAACTCAATTTATCTCCCTGAAACAGTAGAAGCAAACTTTGCAAGCCTTTATAGCCAGATTTACTTTGTAAAGTCAATTTCAGTGAGAACTCCCACATTAGATTGAAATAAAGTGTGCAGTTTAAGGTAGCCAAGTCGCTTTCCCCCTTTTACGAGCCCCCCAGGGCACACTTTCATATAAATCTCTTCAATTCTTATTCTTACGGCTCCAGTAGTTTCCAGACGTACAGATGAGATTGCATTTATTTTCTGTCACACCCCCATGGGTCAGTAGGGAAATCTATACTTTCTCCTGCTCTTTCCCCCTCCCTGTTAAACGGCTGAAATAAGCTCTGGGATCAGGGGCCTTCTTGTTGGGCAGCAGCCACCTCTTATGGCACCCACAGACACAGATGAAGATTTACTGCGTCCCAGGTAATGGATTTCTCCTTAATCGCATTTGTCATCGGACTGTAAAAAGTGTCAGGTTCCCTAGGATGTTGGTGTTGGAGAGACAGAGAGAGCGAGCTGGGCAGGGGGTTATAGCACTGTAGCTTAAATATGAGAATGATCCTTTTAGGTGACATGTTTGTTACCTTGCACCACAGTGTAGGACGCCTCCACAGAGGACAGGTTGGTGATGACAGTGACGTCATTGTCCCTGTTGGAGCTCTCCATGTCGATGCTGATTGATTGGTCTATCTCCCGGTGTAGGCTGGTCACCACTCCCGTGGGGTAGGTGACGTTAGTCAGACGCCCCTCACTGTCATACCTGCATGGGAAGAGTAGGATGCAGCTGAGTCTAGGGGCCATGGAGGAAAAATCCTACATGTGCTGGAATGTTTGTCGAATGTGAGACCGACAGATGTCTTCTAGTACTCAGAGCAGTACCAGAGTCAGACTCCAGATGGTGACAATGTGACATGACCATACTGTTGATTTGACTCAGTGTGGCCTGACAGAATCCAGACTTCTTTCACTCTCTCTGACTAATGCATTATTTCCACACCAATAAATGGCTATTGCTCCTGTTCTTCACCCCATATTAACACACTTCACTGTGAGTTATATCACTGAATACGTTAGGCTAATTTACAGTCACATATACACATTACACATTTACAAGTAAATTCCCACATACTCATAAAAGTTTGTCCATCCAGTCTCGTCAGCCTTGGAGGCCAGCAGGCCTGTGTTTGCAGCATAGCTCATCACCGCCACCTCCTGGTTGAGGGCAGATACGGAGCGCAGGCCGCCGGCAGGGTCCAACCCCAGGGTGACCACCTGGTTCTCAGGCAGCAGCACCAGCCTCAGCTGGCCAGATCCGTCCCTCCTCACCCTCAGGGTGTTGTTACAGTTATCAGCCACAGCAGCCAGCTCCCTGTCCGGCCCGTAGGTGAAGTTATAGAGGGGTTCTCCAGTGATCAGACTGACTGTCTGTCTGTGGATCCCATCTCTACTGAACACATAGAGCTCCTGCTCCCGTGGCGACCCCACCTCATACAGCCCCACTGGCGTGGCCACGGGCCTGTCGCGCCGCACTGCCCGCACACGGATGTTGTTGAGATCGGCGATGAACAGCGTGCCATCGGGAGACACAGCGAGCGAGGAGGGGGCGTTGAGCCCGGCGTCCGTGGCGTAGCCCTCGTCGCCGGAGAAGCACTGGCAGTTGACGTCGTTCTTGCAGTCGCACTCGGAGGTGGCGCCAGCCAGCAGAGAGGTCTCTCCGGAGGCGCTGACCTGCCGCACGCGGTTGATCTTCTTCTCGTCCGTCTCGGCGATGTAGAGCACACCAGTGTGGGAGATGGCGATGGCCGTGGCGCTCTCCAGGGCAGAGTGGATGGCCAGCTTGCTCAGGGAGTAGTCTATGCCCGGAACCTGGCAGTGCATGGGCCTCCCAGCGATGATGTTGACCTGGTGGTTCTCTGTGATGCGGAGGATCACGTTGTTCTCCAGCACGTACAGGGAGTTGTCTGTGGGGTTCACTGCCAGGTCTGTGGGCCACTCCAGACGCACCTGGATCAACAGTTACATGAGTAAACACAAATCCACTGGAACTCCATAGCGCTCTTTAGATCTCCAAGTCTTTATCCAAATGTATCTCTCACACACACTATTCAGAAGAGTACAGCTAGGGCAGCTTGGATAGGTGGGTATCAATACTGTCAATTTATGACTGCAAAGAGGCAGCACTATTATGTTGGACAGTAGTAGATATCTCCCTCTAAAGAAAAGCATCTGTAGTTGGCCATGCTTATTGTATTTGGCCATAAGACAGAGGGGGGAAAATAGGACAGATCGGGATATCATTTAGACTGCAGACTCTCTTCCCACCTGGCTATTAAGAAATACATATAGCCTCAGCACTACACATGTTTTCTGCCCCAAACGGCCTGTAAGTCCAACATATAAAGATATGAAACATATCGATTTTTGGTTCCCCAGGTTTTCTCCTCACCTGACTGACGTCCATGCTGGAGTCACAGCTGAGTGGACGGACCGCTGTGAGGTCATTGGTCTTGATCAGGGTGGAGATAATGCCATTTTGGTCCACCTTACGGATCATGGTGGCGTCAACAAAGTACATGAGGCCGTTCTTATCCACAGCGATCCCTGACAGACAGAAATAAATATGAAGGCAGAGTGTGAAAACTAGTTCTACTTTACATCTGGGGCTGCTAACACAAACAGTCAAAACACTGTCAAAGTTGGGCTCATCAGGCATTCTGCAGGGTTGTAACCTCACACTGACATCAGAATGTCTCTGTGTTAGAGTGTCATCTCTGCTTTGACACCAAGTGACAGTGCAACACTCCGCCTGGCAGTTTAGTGTCAAGAAGACTCGCTGTTTCTGTTCCAGGTCACTGCTCTGAACAAACAGATTGCAAATCACTCTCGTTTACATACACCCTCCCTCCTGAGGATACCACTAGATAGATACTGAGTGACAGCTAAAGACCCCAAATGAATAGCAGGTGAACATGTGTAAAATCACACAATATGAGTGCTTCCTACAAGGGGGCATAAATGACAGACTGTAAGTAACAATCAGCTATAACAAAATAATACTAATGGAAATTAGATGAGTGGAACTGATTATATATTGAACATGTGGAGCAGAGCATCCCTAAAATAAGGAAAGGCATCTGTATTCAGTCACAGTCACCTCCCCAGTCAGGATTGATACCCCATGCCCCTGGTACTCACCCCTAGGGCTCATGAGTGTGGCCTCCACAGCCTTGCCCCCGTCCCCACAACGGGCCTCGTCAAAGGGGACACACTGCTCGCCGGTCCCAGCCACCACCTGGGCATTGTCCAACAACTGCCGCCCGCCGGTCAGTGAGCGCACGCGGTAGATCTGTCGAGAGTTGGTGTCCGAGAGAAAGACCACCCCAGACAGTGGGTCCACCGCTAGGTAGTACTTGTGTGTTGGGTTGTTCCTACGTAGATAGGATATGAGAGAATATTTTAGATAGATAATCCCTCAAAGGACTGAGCCAGAGACTATAGGAATGCATTCAGGGTTCACAATAATTGGATAGTTTCACATGCAGAAAAAAGTACAGAGCTACAGGAAGAGAGATGACATACAGGTAGCCATCACTTTTACTAAAGCTGTATGTCAGGCAATGTCACCAAGCTGACGGAGGACACTAGGGCTGTACCCGACCAAAAAAAAATCTTGGTTGACCGAGAGTAGTCTGCTCAATTTTTAAACGTGTATTTATCCAGATAAAAAAAATTAATGGAAATATCACATTTACATAAGTATTCAGGCCCTTTACTCAGTACTTTGTTGAAGCACCTTTGGCAGCGAATACAGCCTCGACTATTCTTGGATATGACACTACAAGCTTGGCACACCTGTATTTGGGGAGTTTCTCCCAGTCTCCTCTGCAGATCCTCTCAAGCTCTGTCAGGTTGGATGGGGAGCGTCGCTGCACAGCTATTTTCAGGTCTGTTCAGAGATGTTCGATCGGGTTGAAGTCCGGGCTCTGGCTGGGCCACTCAAGGACATTCAGAGATTTGTCCCAAAGCCACTCCTGCGTTGTCTTTGCTGTGTGCTTAGTGTTGTTGTCCTGTTGGAAGGTGAATCTTCGTCCCAGTCTGAGGTCCTGAGCGCTCTGGAGCAGGTTTTCATCAAGGATCTCTCTGTACTTTGCTCCGTTCATCTTTCCCTCAATCCTGACTAGTCTCCCAGTCGCTGCCGCTGAAAAACATCCCCACATCATGATGCTGCTACCATCATGCTTCACTGTAGGGATGGTGCCAGGTTTCCTCCAGAACGCTTGGCATTCAGGCCAAAGAGTTCAATCTTGGTTTTATCAGACCAGAGAATCTTGTTTCTCATGATCTGAGAGTCCTTTAGGTGTCATGTAACTTTTACTGAGGAGAAGCTTCCACCTGGCCACTCTACCATAAAGGCCTGATAGGTGGAGTGCTGCAGAGATGGTTGTCCTTCTGGAAGGTTCTCCCATCTCCACAGAGGAATTCTGGAGCTCTGTCAGAGTGACCATCAGGTTCTTGGTCACCTCCCTGACCAAGGCCCTTCAATCCCGATTGCTCAGTTTGGCCGGGCGGCCAGCTCTAGGAAGAGTCTTGGTGGTTCCAAACTTCTTCCATTTAAGAATGATGGAGGCCACTGTATTCTTGGGGACCTTCAATGCTGCAGACATTTTTGGTACCCTTCCCCAGATCTGTGCCTCGACACAATCTTTTCTCGGAGGTCTACGGACAATTCCGTCGACCTCATGGCTTGGTTTTTGCTCTGACATGCACTGTCAATATAGACAGGTGTGTGCCTTTCCAAATCATGTCCAATCAATAAAATGTACCACAGGTAGAGTCCAATCAAGTTGTAGAAACATCTCAAGGATGATCAATGGAAACAGGATGCACCTGAGCTCAATTCTGAGTCTCATGTAAATAAAATATTTCCGTTTTATATGTTAGTTTTTTTTGCTGAAATTTCTAAAAACCTGTTTTTGCTTTGTCATTATGGGGTATTGTGTGTAGATTGATGAGGAAATGTGTTTCTTTAATCCATTTTAGAATAAGGCTGTAACGTAACAAAATGTGGAATAAGTCAAGGGGTCTGAATACTTTCCGAATGCACTGTATATGTACAATATATCGATGATTTATAAAGCCAGGCACATTTAACAGTGACACTATTGATTATAGACACATAGCAACATGGTCTAGGAAAAGGCACCAATTCAACAGCGCAGTGATGTATTTCAGAACCGCGGACAGCGACTGCTATCCAACACAGGAGAACGCACATTTGATATAATGTATTTTTATTAGTGTTGCATTGTTCTTACGTAATATAACCATATACATTTTCAGCAGCACATGCCTTAGAGCAGGGTTGCCCAACCATGTTCCTGGAGAGCTACCCTCCTGTAGGTTTTGGCTCCAACCCCAGGTGTTACTCACCTGATTCATCTTATCAACCTGCTAATTATTAGAATCAGGTGTGCTAGATTAGGGTTGGAGCAAAAACCTACAGGAACAGGGTTGGGCAGTCCTGCCTTAGAGTGATGGACTGTGCCATCCCCACTGCCTCCACAATAGATTAGTCCACCCAGACAGGTGTGAATCAGACAGGTGTGAATCAGACAGGTGTGAATCAGACAGGTGTCTTTGTACACCATTATTTACTTTTAAAATTGTTATCTAGTGCTCGACTAAAGAAATCTCGGTTGACCAACAGCCTATCGACCGAACAATCGACCAGTCGACTAAATAGGGTCAGTCCTAGAGGACACACAAACATAACTTACCCATGCCTCAAGTCTTTATTTCTGGAGAAAAAGAAAAGAAAGAACACAACATTGTTAGTTCCCACCTATCATGTTACTCAACCCCTCCTCCATTGATAACCTCTGTCCATCCCTCATGTCTGCCAGCCTACCTGAGCTCCAGCACGGCTGTGGTGTTTAGAGTGGGGTAGACCCGGCGGATGAAGTTCAGATCTCCCACATACAGGCTGCCGTCCCCCCCACAGGCCAGCGCCATGGGGGCCAGCAGCTTGTTGCCCTCAGCCAGACCACTGCAGCTGGGGCAAGAGATACTGCGCCTGCGCCCGTTCCCCATGATGCTGTTAATGACCGGAGGCTGCTGCTCCGACACAAACACATTCTCCCCACTGCCCTTATGCAGGATCCCTGAAACAGTAGAGGCATTCTGATTCAAACCAATATCCTTTTAGATCCTAAACTTCACAACTACGCCATGAATAGAGCTCGGGAACAAAGACCTAGAGTCACTTTTTAATCAGCCTCTATCTTAATATTGGCTTCCTTATCATTTTAGACTTTAAATTCCCCGTGTACCCAAAAATAAAACAATAAAGTAATCCAATAACACTGTTCAAACTGTTGCTATAGAAACCGAGTGAGTGTGAAGGTGTGAGAGTCAGAGTAGTATATTATTAGTGTTTGTCATCTTATTGACTCCCTGCTTGTCCCTCGTCTGTCATTGCCTGGGCACAGGAATATTGCATTGGTATTCAGGGCACACGTGGTGCTGTCAAACATGGAGGTGAAAGAACACTGTTTTATGAGATCCTTAGTGGAACTGCATTGATATACAGATGTGAGACAAGAAAAGACAAGACTACTTGGATGTTGAACGTCCATTCATGCATTCCAATAAGTTTAATGTAGCTACACCTTTTTTTAAAAACATTTCTCAACACTAAATACGAACAAAAGAAAACACACAATTGTAAATGATCTGACTGTGACAGTAGCCCATCTGTCCTGATGTGAGTGAGGTTAGTTCTAAAATGTCTGTGTTCTAAGTGGGTTTCAAAGGCTGTAGGTCGTACCACTGGCAATGTTGAGGGCGTGGTGTTTGTCCAGGGACCAGCCCCCCAGGTTGGACGGTAGCAGCTCGTAGCCCTGCAGCACCGCTGTCCTCTTTTCCCATAGGATCTGACTGGGACACGTCTCATACTCAAACCCCACTGACACTGTAGAAAAACAGAGAATAGGATTTGACTCTCCATCCAAACTTTAGCACCACCTCAAAGTAACACAGGGTTCCATCACATACAGTCATTAACTGCATTAAATGTACTCTTCATGGTCACAAGAATCACACGTGATAAACATACATGTGGACAAACGCATCAGGTTAAGTATGCTTCAATGAGAATGTTAATCAAGTGAGTGAGATTGAATGAGACGTGTGCGTAGGGAGAAACGTATTCAGCGTGATCACATACTGTTTCTGTGAATGCATGGGGCTCGAGGTAGACAACTGTTCACACCTACACAGCATCACACAGTATCTTACTGTGTAGGTGTCAACTGAATTAAACGCTTGTGTTGTGGCTTTCTTTTGTCAGAGAGCCTGTTGTGGTAATAGATGGCATGGTCCTGTGTCTTGACAGATAGAGCTACAGAGTTACATCTAACATAACCGAACCAAACATAATCCAAACACTACAGAATCTCACACTGCTACTCACCAGCAGCTTGGGTCAGCCCGTAGACCCTCTGCCTGTAGGCGTCCGTCTTGTCCCAGATATAGGAGTAGGCCAGGTGGGGAGAGGCGTGGAACCACTTCTGGAAGAGGTGTCCCTCCACGGCCACCATCAGGTGCACCTTGACCAGGGAGAGGGGCACCAGGGTCTGGGTCATGGTCACCTTCAGCAGGGCGTGGTACCCCGAGGCACGAGAGCTCAGGTAGCACAGCTTCAGACCTGTGCCCGGGATCTCCAGCTGCTCATGAACCACCTAGGAGGAGGAGGGAGAGAGAGAGTTAGTGGAAGAAAGAGAAAGAGAGAGAGGGGAAGAGAGAGAGACGTGAGAGAGAGATCGAGAAAAGGAGATGTAGAGAGAGAAGAAAGTAACAGAAAAGAGAGCTAGAGGGAGAGAGAGAGCAACTGTATGTATGTAAGTACCTGAGTCTCAGGGATGATGTGCCTCTCTGCAGGATGGGAGCTGAAGAAGGAGGAGAGGGGTGAGGCCACCACCACAGGGTCAGGGTGGACATAGCCACTGAGGTCACAGGCTGGGATGATGTTCTCCTCCATCTTTAGTACCAGCGTGTCCATGGCATAGAACCGGTTCCAGGGCAGCCACACCGTGCGCTCTTGGCTCAAGAACGGCGCTCGCTCAAAGCGCAGGGTCAGAGACGCACCCCCATTGGCCACCAGGTCAAATCTACAGAGGAACAAAGACAGGGGACAAGGGGTTATAAAGACTTTGATCCACACTGTCCTCCGTTCACTCTTAGATGTAATTCATGGAGGAACTAAGGGACATACATTAAATCGGTTGTCATTGTCATATTCAAAACCCAAACAGTCACTCACGTGCCGTCCTGTCGAGTCAGGGTGTAACCATAGTGAGGGTACTTGACAAACGTCACGTTGACCCCTACCAGGGGAGTCCCGTCCGTGGTCAGGACCTGGCCTCTGATCAACGATGCCAGGCTGCAAGAGGAGGTGAAAGAGGATACAGTTGCTTCCTAACTGACAGCCAAGGCATGAAGAGGGTGTAACTGCACGTGATCCAAAACTCTCAATGAATGGCTGTCAAAGTCAGTGGTAATTACTTATTGACAGAAAAATACACGTTTGGATATATTTGAAACTCTGATATACACTACCAGTCAAAAGTTTGGACACACCTACTCATTCAAGGGGTTTTCTTTATTTTTACTATTTTTTACATTGTAGAATAATAGTGAAGACATCAAAACTATGAAATAACACATATGGAATCATGTAGTAACCAAAAAAGTGTTAAATCAAAATATATTTTATATTTGAGATTCTTCAAATAGCCACCCTTTGCCTTGATGACAGCTTTGCACACTCTTGGCATTCTCTCAACCAGCTTCATGAGGTAGTCACCTGGAATGCATTTCAATGAACAGGTGTGCCTTCTTAAAAGTTAATTTCTGAAATGTCTTTCCTTCTTAATGCGTTTGAGCCAATCAGTTGTGTTGTGACAAGGTAGGGCTATGTTCTGTATACCCCAGATAGCCCTATTTGGTAAAAGACCAAGTCCATATTATGGCATGAACAGTTCAAATAAGCAAAGAGAAACAACAGTCCATCATTACTTTAAGACATGAAGGTCAGTCAATACGGAACATTTCAAGAACTTTGAAAGTGTCTCCAAGTGTAGTCGCATAAACCATCAAGCGCTATGATGAAACTGGCTCTCATGAGGACTGCCACAGGAATGGAAGACCCAGAGTTACCTCTGCTGCAGATGATAAGTTCATTAGAGTTACCAGCCTCAGAAATTGCAGCCCAAATAAATGCTTCACAGTGTTCAAGTAACAGACACATCTCAACATCAACTGTTCAGAGGGGACTGTGTGAATCAGGCCTTCATGGTCGAATTGCTGCAAAGAAACCACTACTAAAGGACACCAATAAGAAGAAGAGACTTGCTTGGGCCAAGAAACACAAGCAAAAAAAAAAAGTGTCCTTTGGTCTGGAGTCCAAATTATATTTTTTGTTTGTGAGATGCGATGTGGGTGAACGGATTATCTCTGCATGTGTAGTTCCCACCGTAAAGCATGGAGGAGGAGGTGTGATGGTGTGGGGGTGCTTTGCTGGTGACACGGTCTGTGATTTATTTAGAATTCAAGGCACACTTAACCAGCATGGCTACCACAGCATTCTGCAGCGATACGCCACGCCATCCCATCTGGCTTGGGCTTAGTGGGACTATCATTTGTTTTTCAACAGTACAATGACCCAACACACCTCCAGCTGTGTAAGGGCTATTTTACCAAGAAGGAGAGTGATGGAGTGCTGCCTCAGATGACCTGGCCTCCACAATCCCCCGACCTCAACCCAATTGAGATGGTTTGGGATGAGTCGGACGGCAGAGTGAAGGAAAAGCAGCCAACAAGTGCTCAGCATATGTGGGAACACCTTCAAGACTGTTGGAAAAGCATTCCAGGTGAAGCTGGTTGAGAGCATGCCAAGAGTGTGCAAAGCTGTCATCAAGGAAAAGGGTGGCTATTTGAAGAATCTCAAATATAAAATGTATTTTGATTTGTTTAACACTTTTTTGGGTACTACATGATTCGATATGAGTAGGTGTGTCCAAACCTTTGACTGGTACTGTATATATGCTGATATTTACTGTACAGCTAGTTGATTCTATCCTGAAGGAAGTGAAATGGACAGATGGGTACACTACCTTGAGTTGAAGGGGTTGTTTCCAGGGATGATGTGGGTACCATCCCTCCCCACCAGTAGCTTGACCCTGTCGTAGAATGACCTGACTTGGGATGGTGATTGACTTTGCTGGATGATCTGCAGTGGATCCCTTGCTCCCAGGCACAGTGGATTGGTCAGGCACAGACTCTGAGTGCAGCAGTCGGGATCCATGCAGTCTGTCAGTCCGTCTGCAAGGGGAAACAAACAGAAATCTATTCTGGACAGACATACACCGCCGCAGCTAAATAATGATTGAATGGCATTTTTTATGTAAAATTGTTCCTCTTGTTGTTGGGCAGAATAGAACAGAACAACGTGTACATGATTCAAAATGTATTAACCCTTTCCATTATTTTCATGATTGTTTTATGAGACAGTTAATTAATCTCATCATATAATGTAATATTTTCATTAGGATGGGTGCGTGGTATTTTTCATCATTCCTAATGATGCTCTATTTTCTCGAGGTTCTCCTTTATAAGTGGTACAGTGCCTGCATGTCCTCCTTTTAATCAAACCCAATAACACTGACATCAAAGTCAAATGGGACATCACGTACAACCCTGTGGGGGTCCTTTTCATCTCTCTTTACGCATCAACAGGAGCACGCACGTGCACTCACACTACTCTCTTTTCCTTCCCTCCCTTACACCTCCCATCCGCTTCAGACCTGCCAAAACAATCACTGCCAACCACTTTGAGACTTTGTAAACATTTTCTGTTTGATCTTTCAGGTATTATTTGGTGAAATAAAACCCAGACAGAGACAAACAGAGAGGTACGGAGACTGAGAAACACATAGACAGACATAGCGGGAGAGTGTCTGAGATTAAGGATGTGAGTAGGAAGTATCCATTGAAGAAGGAAGATGATTGGATTAACCACAACAGCCAGCCAGTCAGACAGCCAGCCAGCCAGGCAGCCAGCCACACATTGAAACATGCACTGAGCCAGTCTGGTAATTGGAGGGCTGTTCGAGTGAGCCATGTTTAAAATCCCATTGTCCTCGGAGCACATTACCTTATTGCTCAGACGCAGACGGGGGAGATGAAAGATTAAAGGCTTCCAGGGGCTGCATTAAGACACTTGTTCAATCACCATCCCGTTTCCTAGGCGACAGGGGCTAAGCAAAGCATCCTCAACTGCATGACATGCCACAGAGAAAGCGCTCTTTAAAATTGACACAGCTCTGGCCTCTGCAAACTACTTAGCCGTTAATCAAGGGAAAATACACCTGGGTATCATTTTCATGTTAGATAACCCTGCCCTGACAGACTGACTGGGGCTGACTGCTTGGAGCTGCTTCTTGCCCTGTGAAAAGCATCTATTCCCGAGGCCTCTTTGATCCTCTCACAAATGGTCACAGGAGGGGGTCACTCCATCTTCCACCAGGGAGGGAGGGGGAGGAAATAATAGGGGCATCCATCTCAGCAAACTCCAGGTCACTGATCCCCACATGCTCTTAGGAGGAGGTGGAGGAGGCATTGATTCAGCCAGCCTCTCCTCTCTCCCCAGCCCGCTCAGTGCTAGCTCACACAGACAGAAGGATGCCATAATGGGGCCATTCAGGCCTGATAGCACTAGCCCCACAATCACACCTCTTTGATCCGCTAAAAACACTCACTGGGAGGAAACCTCTCAGAGAAACCCAGGCAGGCGTCTGGCTGTCTGGCTGTCTGGCTGTCTGGCTGTCTGCTGGTCATCAGGGAGAATCAAATAATTGTCATGCCTGAGAGACACTGCTACTAACAGGAAATAAACAGATTTCAAATCTAGACCAAATCAACAGTACAGTTGCACAAATACTGTAACTCCGCCACAGCTGGTTCCAAATCACGGGTATTACATGCATTTTTCATAGGCAAATCTACAAAGTGGACACAGCCTTCGCCATCCTGCCTCCTGTGCTGTGATCCTTCACCTCTTCACCACACTCACCTCCTTCATTGTCCTTGTTGTCAGCACAGGAGATCTCCATGGCAACGCTGCAGCCAGGTCCTCTCCAGCCAGTGTGGCATTCACAGTGCCAGCTGTTCTGTCCCAGGCTGCATTGGCCATTCCCGTTACACAGGCCCGGGCACCCGTCTGAGAGAGAGGGAGGAGGGAAATAGAGGAGGAGTGGACAGGGATCAGAGGAGAGGCCTGATCAGTAATAGTGATTTAGTGACAGAGTAACTTGTACCAGCTAAGGGAGAGCAGCACACAAACTTTATATTTTTAGTCTCTGTCTACCGTTGCATCACACAACAAGGGCAATAAAAAAAAAATTGATATTGATTACATGGCAAGGGGATTGCATTTCATCATAACAATGCTCTTCTTGTGGATGTGGATTTCATACAGCTACAGTATATACCCTAGTGGCAAAAGGGAGGGTTTTGGCGTGCGGTAAATGGTTTTGTTCAATATCCATTCATAGCTAAAAGTATTCAATAAAAGAAAGTACACAAGTTCACAGCCGATTAATTTGTGGTGGTTGATTTGCCTCTGGAGGCTGGCTGGGGTGTAATGCTGCCTCATGAGAGAATTTGATTAGGCAAAACTGATGAGATTACAAGCCACCTAGACTTTGAAAACAGGGAGGGAGAACAACAGGAGAGATGCTACATATCATTGATGACTGCAGTCACCCTCAGCAGATGTAATATTCTCCCAGGCTAGGTTAATGAAGAGGACATGATGAATGCTGCTGCGACATCTGTCTCAGTGGTGCAGTATAGTCTGTACAGGAGACCAGAGGTATGGGACCAGGCAGTGGGTGCTATTGGACTGTAAATCTACATAACTCGCCCATGCTGTTCCATGAATTACCATCACCAAGGTCAAAAGAGCAAACCTCACAAAAAAAATAAAAAAGATGATAAATATGAATCCATAAACTGCATTTAAAAATCAGACACTTTCGCCAAAATGGGAAACCTCAAAATTAACATTAAGACTTTTCCCGAACAGACTAAAATCTAATTAAACCGTATTAACCTTTAATTTAAGACAGCCTCCTAACAACATGTCCGCCGTCCTGTCCCGATGTGGAGCAGCACAGTCATTAGTATTCTCCCAACAGGGATGAGCATGCAGCTTCACTGGTCCAACCCATCTATTAGTATTCTACCTACTGCTGGGCAGATGCAGTTAAAAGGCCAAGTCCATTAATATTCCTATGGAGGGAGCAGACTGCTGCAGCAGAAATAGCAGCCGACCGGTCTCCATTGAGCCTACTTAACATGGAGTAGCAACGCTAACATACACTGCTAGCTAACTGTGTGTTTACAACAAAACATTGATAGACAGACTGAAAGGCCGACATTCACAAACAGACTCAGAAAGAACAAACTGACACACAATAGTCCTATGTTTAACAATGCACAAGAGAGAAATTAATGCAATGGGTACGAATGTTAAGTCTGTTAGGAAGTGGTTAATCTGTCGTGGACAAGACTAGGTCAACATAAATGGTACCATCTGACCAAATTACACCAGATTTTAGTTCTGGGTTAACTAATGTTAGGAAGTGGTAGAAAGTGTGCACTAGCTGAATATCCCAATATGAGGGACCAATAGGGATTGGGGATACTAGCAAATGGGAGTTTGCAGCACTCTACTGGAACACTAAAACTCCAACTACCACTAAGACATTGAGTGCAAACACTATTCAACACTTCACAATACTAAAAAGGACCCCTCTACATCCCTCTTCTACACAAGAGAGTGGTCTGTTTGAGGCGTGGGGAACTAACGCACAAATCAGATCACCTCTTGTCCAAATACAATACCTTGTTCCAAGCTATCCCAAAAGTCTGCATAAAAACAAAATATGGCAGGTTTGATAAGATCTTTGCGTGTGGAGGAGGGTTGGGATTCTTAAAATGGCATGGTTCATCACAAGTAAATAGGAGCGAGATGGAGGGAGATAAATCTCCTTCGCACTCAACTCTCCAACACTAATTAAAGAGAGAGACACATAATGAACAGAGAATGAGAGCTAGCGCACAGCACGGGCCTTTTCACATGGCTCTAACAACATAGCCCACAGTGGAGCCCCAGGGAGGTGTTTTTCTCATCAGATGGGAGGAAGATAAAGGGAGGAAAATAGGAAAGTAAAGCCCTCCGGCACTCAAGAGCACTCTGGGGGAGAATGAGGGGGCAGAGTGGCTGTCCCTCTCTGTTGGCTCCCAGGGAGGCAGAGTGGGTTTTAAGTCTTCCGCAAGCTTCGGTTCGGCTGGCGCCTAGCCGAACTAGGCTAGGCAAACCGAACGAGTGTGCTGGCATACTCCCTTAAAAGACCTTCGCTTAAAAAACAAGAAAAAAGCAGCAATAGTACTGTTTGTCCATCTTGAGATGCCGTAGCCAGTATACACTTCCTCAAAATGGTCAGAATTAATCTAAACTAGAATCTAAGCTCAAGAAATCTGTAATTCATTTTGATGTTCTTGCTGAGGAGCTCTTAGTACTGCAATTTGACATCTAACTAAGATGTTTGGTGCAGTATTTCTCAATGAAACAATGTGCATGAAAATGAGTCATCTATCGTAGAATGGCAACAAACACTTCATTGAAGAATCCCTACTGTTAACCAATGACTGACGAAGGGGCGTAGACTTCAGCTACTGGAATTCGGCTTGCTTTGACAAATTGTGCACTAATAGCCGGAAAAACCCTTGCCGAAGACCAAAACTAACAAAAACTTCACAAATATGATGTCATAATATATGCACAAACTGTTTCCGAACTGTTTCGGATGGAAAGCATGCGGACGCCTTTAGGGAGCACCAAGAGGCCTGCTGCCCAGCCTCCTCCACCGGAGAGTGGGTGACTAGGCTGGAGGGGCGAGGCTGCAGATGGAGGTGGGTACTTTGGCTATGGATGAAACATTTGCACTCTAGTGGAGGAACCATTCCAAATGAATGGGAGCGCTTCTTAATGACATGGAGGAACAGAGCAGGGAAGGAGGGCACTCATCAGCATTGATGGATGTATCTGCTGCTGAGTGCTATACTTAAGCAATAGGGCCAGTGGGTGTGTGGTATAGGGCCAATATACCACTGCTAAGGGCTGTTCTGAAGCCCGCAGCATCCAGGGCTCGAACCAGCCAGTTTATAATGCTCTTTTTATCATCACAGAAAGAGAGACATTGGACATGTTTTGTGTTGGGGGTGCTGTCGGGGGGTTCGACAGCACCCCCAACCTTCTCATAATCCAACCAAAGTGTATAGTTAAGGCAGCAAACAGGATGTATCTTTTAAACATGTGGGGGTAGTGACAGTTCCTCTCTCTGGCTGAGAGTTAGTATGGTGTGAGGATAGAGGCAGGATACTGCTGTGTGTGTTAGTGTGTTAGCGTGCCAGGGTGTTGGCTGGCTGGCCGGATGCATACCGATGGTGCAGTGCTCTCCGTTCCAGCCCTGTTGGCACTGACACTTTCCGTCCCGGCATGTCCCGTGCTTCACACACAGTGGGTTGCAGACGCGCAGGTCACACCCGGTGCCTGTCCAGCCCTCCTCACAGCGACACACATTGCCAACACACACGCCGTGGGCGCCACAGTCCGACGAGCACACCTCTGTGGAGAAACACACATGTAGGCACATAAGCACAGTAATAGGAGAGGAAAGCAGTATAGTAGATGGACAAATGGGAAATGGATGGGTTTCACAGAGGAGGTAGTCACAAAGAGATGTGGCCATGGCGTGTGTTGAGTGTGTTTCTGAGTTGTAGAGACGAGTGAAAGGAGTAATATAATATACGCCATTTAGCAGACATTTTTATCCAAAGCGACTTAGTCATGCATGGTCCCGGGAATCAAACCCACCATCTTGGCATTGCAAGCGCCATGCTCTACCAACTGAGCTACAGAGGACCACAGAGGGGGAGGTGTGTGTGTGGGGGTGTTACCTACCCATGGAGCAGTCTGGTCCCATCCAGTTTGGGTCACAGCTACAGATGCCCGTGTCGGGTATGAAGGCCCCGTGTCCGTGGCACTGGTCTGGGCACTGGGCCCTGGGATGCTCACAGAGCGGGCCGGCCCAGCCTGGCTTACAGTGGCACTGCCCACTCACACAGGTACCATGGCCAGAGCAGCCTGGGTCAAGACAGTCCACTGAAACACAGATAGAGAGAAACAGAGGCATGATGTAAATGCACCACGTTAACAAAAACGTAGTAGCAGTAATAGTGAATATACTTAAAGTAGTGAATATTCTGAAAGAAAGGAGGTAAAATTGCCATTTTCTTCTCAATTTCTTTGTATAACCAGAACTCTCTCTCCTCTTCCATCCCTTCTCTACTTACCCTCCAACTCCACTTCATTCCAGATGAGCAGAAACCCATCAGAACATAAGTGAATGAATCAGCTCCAGGGCAATTATTTAAAAGCTGGATCAATAAAATGGATTCCATTCCCTTAATAACGTTTCTGATGTACAGTGGGATCTGAAATGATTGATAACCTTGATAAAGATGAGCAAAAATGACTGTATAAAATAAATAATTTAAATACTGAGCTATATTGTATGCAAAAAAAAGAAAGGAAATTATATTATTTTATACAAATACAATTGCTCAGAGAAATAGATTTTGTTTAACAACTAATTTAAAAACAATTCTCAAAAAGGTAGGGGTCAAAATTATTGATACCCCTGTTTTCAATACCTTTCAATACCGCGTCTGTGCTTATGAACTGCCCTCTTCAATTCAAACCACAGGTTTTCAATTGGTTTCAAGTCCGGAGACTGAGACTGCCATTGCAAAAATGTAGATTTTGTTGCCAATTAACCATTTCTTTTTGAAGGTTTTTGGCTAAAATATCCTGGTACATGAAGTTCATGATGCCGTTGACCTTAACAAGGGCCCCAAGACCAGCGGTAGCAAAATAGCTGCATAACATCAACGATTATTTTCTGATCATGCATTCTAATTTTGACGCCAAACCCACAACTGGTGTGCATAAACGGCATTGGCATTTGGATTGGAACCGGAGCTTTGGTCTGATGACATGGTAATAACATTATTTTAATGCAAAATCTCTTTCTCTGAGCAATTGTATTTTTTTTTCTTCATACATTATAGCTCAGTATTTGAATTATTTATTATATAGAGACAATATTTGCTCATCTTTATCAAGGGTGTCAATCATTTCAGACCCCATTGTATACAGTATACACCTTCCTAATATTGAGTTGCACCCCGTTTTGCCCTCAGAACAGCCTCAATTTGTCAGAGCATGGACTCTACGAGGTGTCAAAAGCATTCCACAGGGATGCTGGCCCATGTTGACTCCAATGCTTCCCACAGTTGTGTCAAGTTGGCTGGATGTCCTTTGGGTGGTGCACCATTCTTGATACACACAGGAAACTGTTGAGCGTGAAAAACCCAGCAGCGTTGCAGTTCTTGACACACTCAAACCAGTGCGCCAGGCACCTACTACTGATGCAAGCAGTAGAACCAGATTTTAAAAACAGGTAAAAATACACCTTATGGAACAATGGGGACTGTGAAGAGACACACACACAAGGGTATAGACACATGCACATTGTGATATTGTTGTATGGTGGTATTAAACATTTTGTATTGTAGATAAGTAGTGGTGTAATAATGTCATATTATGTACTGTTTTATATTTTGTTTTATATGTAATGTAAGTGCTTTAATATGTTTGGACCCCAGGAAGAGTAGCTGCTGCCTTGGCAGCAGCTAATGGGGATCCCTAATAAATACAAATACGACCATACCCCGTTTAAAGGCACTTAAATATTTTGTCTTGCCCATTCACCCTCTGAATGGCACACATACACAATCCATGTCTCAATTGTCTCAAAGCTTAAAAATCCTTCTTTAACCTGTCTCCTCCCCTTCATCTACACTGATTGAAGTGGAATTAACAAGTGACATCAATAAGGAATCATAGCTTTCACCTGGATTCACCTGGTCAGTCATGGAAACACTCAGTGTATATCTCTACAGTCAGACTTTCTGAAACGTAATATGGCACTAAATTGTGAATCTCCCTGAAGGCAGGTGTGTGTGTGTCTGAGAGTGTGTGTGAACAAGTGTGTGAGTGATGTACAGCGCTGTACACCTCACCTTCCTCGCAGATGTCGCCACGATAACCTGCAGAGCACGTGCAGGAGCCCTCGGAGCATGTGCCATGGCCGTTGCAAACTGGGTCAATACACTGGCCCACTGGGACGTCACACTCGGAACCTTTCCATCCGCTGTAGCAGATACACGAGCCCTTGTCATACTGGCCATTGCCACTGCACAGGACCGGGCAGGCAGCTAGACAACGTGAGAGGAGTGAGATACAGCAAGTGAGACAAGGTGAAAGACATGGGCTTTAGGTCATATTTGAGTCATGCTCCATTTTTATGTCAGTAGAGAGACATTTATGTTGAGATTGTCATATTGGAAATGTCTCAAACAACTCATGGTGGCTCTTGTTTCGAGGATCAAGATAGGAGTAAAATATTCTAGAATATACATTTGAGTGATGCTTCATTTTATATCTCAGTATTGAGTAACTTATGTTGAGATGATCCTATTGGACATATCTCAAAACAACTCATGGTGGCTCGTGATGATTTTCAAGATAAGGGTAAAATATTCTACAATATACATATACATAACTATACAGCCTAGCTTAGCGATACCAAAGTATGTACCTTTGGCACAATCCATGCCATGGAATCCTGGAAAGCAGTGGCACACGCCCGACATGCACTCTCCATTTCCATGGCAATTCTGCGGGCATTCTTGTACTGAATCTATGATTGAACAGCAAGTATTGAAAAAGACAAGTTATTACAACCAGAATGATGAGATATAATATTATAGAGAAGTATGTGATTGTTCCTTCTCCTTTCACCTCCCTCTATGTTATCCCTCACCTGTTTTGATTAGGCAGACCTCCTCCCTCATCACCTCTTACCTCCTTACCGTTCATAATTAGATACGTCTAAATAATTAACAGTCATTAACGTTTTACTGGAGGCTGAACCCGCTACCCTTTCTATAGCTAATACAATAGTCTGTTATAATAAGAGTTTAATGCAGAACGTCAAGTGTTTGATGGAAGAACGCAATGAAGCACTATACTGTGTGGACTCATTGACATTATCCAAAAAGATGCAGCTGTCAACATATACTGTATAGCTATACAAAGATTACAGCTCAGTATTAAGAGGATGGGTAAAGAGAGATCATCTTTTGAGATTCTGGCATTTTTATAAAAAAAAATGTCTCTGTAAATATCCATTAGCAGAGAAACAGTTAGCTAAGCTTTTCCCCCAAAAAAGAAAATGCACTGCACAGATAATTCAAAATGCCTCTGTGGCGTGACAGTCTAACACATTATTCAAATGATTCAGTACACTACAACTCTTTTTAGCATACCCCAAATGTCCTCCAACCACCCCTCCCTCCTCCACCCCCCTGCCACAAGTGAAAACCTCCCCCATTACAACATTACTCATCCCCACTGCTCAGTTAAGTACAATTACTGTAATATAATTGCCTCAATCACTCAGTGTCCCTACGGCAGTACGCCAGTGGCAGAGTTGACCCCACCACTGTATGCTGCTGCCACTGTTGCATGTCCTGTGTGCCTCCCCATGGACGATTAGAGGTTCACGGAAGCATATAAGGCAAATGAATAATGAGCAGATGTGTATTCATGTACTAAGAGAGTCTACTGTTGAATACAAAAACTCCACTTTGACCTTGTGCATATCAATGTAGCCAGTAGCCAAGCCGACCCATCCATCTCAGCCCACTTTCCCCTCTTTTAGTCAAGTTTAAGCCCACGCCCTGTTCTGTTGGCCTGTGTTCTCTTTTCAGTAGCATCATCCTTCAGACCAGTCTTTCTCATCGCTGGTTATCATTCCAACTGATCTCTAAATCAAAGATGTTGTTTCATGCCTTTATTGCACCAGAGACTGCGTGCCGTGTAGAGATAGTGTTTTTCTTCGGGGGAGCTCCCGACAGTCATGAAAACTTCAATACCAAAGCGAGCGCAAAAATTCCTGTGTTTTCTTTTCTAGTTTGTTCTCAGCTATTGCATGCTTGTTTACTGTTAAGCAATGGCGAACTGTGTGAGAGGAGGGGCGTACAGACGGAGAGGACTCCACAGGGATACATCTTTTATAACTCAATCTCTCCCACTCAATCTCCAACCTTTCCTTCAAATTCAGAGTTCACTCCCAATTTCAGTCCAACCCTATCTGGCCAAAAGGGCTGCAAACCTGGAATGGTACATTTGTAGAACTCAGAGGTGTTACTTACTACCAGAATCTAAAATGTTTTCCCTGCCTTTACAAAGAGAACATAGAAATATAGAGCTAGCAGGTAAATCCAATAACAGCACCCACCTAGAGCCACGGTGCTGAAGGAGACAGACTCCTTGTCTTTGCCGTCGTTGTAGAAGGCCAGATGCCAGGTGCCAGGGTCCAGGTACTGAACAAAGATGGCCTCGTTCAGAACCACCGTGTGGATGCTGCGGCGCTCCCGAGGAGACTCCACCACGCTCCACTTCTCCTTCCCGTCCAGACGCTCCATGTAGTCATACTGAACAGAGAGAACAGGGTTAGTGCGGAGTGCGGAAGGAAGGGGCATGGTAAGAAGTAGTCAATTCTGCTGAATAAACCCTGTTTATTAAATTCAGGTGGAATAATGTCAAGGTCTATAACATATCTGTGACATATGTAATATACTTCTATGATAGCTATATCCAGGTCTTAAAACATGACCTATCTAGGTCTAAAACAATATAGATGGCCATTGCTGGGTACCTGTGCATGGGAGGGGGGCAGACCCTTGCGGATGTACACCCCAAAGAGTGCGTCTTTGCCCAGGGAGATGTTAAACTTGAGGAACAGGGGCTGGCGGAGGTGCAGTAAGGAGCGCCAAAACACTCCTGGGGGGATGTCCTGGCTCACCCGCCGACCTACATCCAGCTCACCTGTACTTATACTACTGTTCCTGTAGACCCATGGTCCTGAAAGAGAGGGGGAGGAGGGAAGGGGGAGGAGAGAGGGGGAGGAGGGAAGGGGGAGGGGAGAGAGAGAGAGGGAGAGAGAGACAGAGAGGGGGTGAGTGAAAGAATAACAGAGAGAGAGGATGAGGGGAAAGAAAAAGACAGAGAGAGTGCGAGAGAAAGAGTAGGTTAGACATATCAAATCCAAGGTAAAGGTCCCTGTGAGTATCCCTCAGATCTCTGTTGAAAGAACACCTCTGCTGTGATAAAACCCAGAAGAAAGTCAATGTCTCCAGCTTATGGAGAGGCAATGCAAATATTTGTGTTTCATAGCGGATAAAACCAACATACAGATGCTGTTTTACTAAGGTGTGTATTTACGACACTATTAATCATCTCACACAGTAAAAGGGTTTTAGATGAATGTTTACACTGTAGTACTGTCGGATGCAGCATCACACAGCTCCTGTAGCTCCGTTTCCCTATGGGGACGGCGAGGAACTAAAGATCTGCTACCATTATCCTCCTCCCTCGGAGAGGAGGATGGCAGTATTCCCAGACCTGTTTGTCATGCAGCTCTCATGGGACTGAGGGGGTCGACAATAGTGAAGACTTTGCTAAATCGTTGTAGTCCACCATCATTTGTAGTGCAACATACTGTATCTCCCCTTGAAAACACTTGAGAAATTGGTGCAGGAACATGAAGTTCCTAGTATTAACTATAACTGCAAGCATTGCTATCCCTCTCTGTTTTTGAGCAGTTAACCCAAAATAGTTTATTTTCCTAGCTGAGAAACCTCTGGCTGTATTAAAAATGGATGAGGGAGAGAGATAGACAGAGAATGGGATGGAGAGAGAGAGAGTGAAGGGAGATACAGAGAGACAGAGAAAGAAACAAGGTCCTGGGTAGCGATGTGTTCCTCCCACAGTATTAAGGCAGGGGTGTTATTCCTCCTGAACACATCAGGCAGATCTGCAAAGTCCTCCTGACAGTGAGGATCACAGACACACAGCAAGAGAATCACACTAACCACAATGCTCTGGCTCGCCTCCAGCACAGTCTCACAGCTCCCTCTCTAAGTCTTTACTGCAGAGTGACCTCAACTCATCTAGACACCAGGATCCAAGCCCTGGAGGTTAGGGAGGCATCAACCGTTTAGTCTGAGGTCTGCCTCACAACACAGTCTTATGAAAAACTGTTCCCAGTCCTGTCAAATCCCGGAGAACCCAACATGACTGCTGTATCTCTCAGTAGAGAGGTGTTTGATGCCATTCCCAACAGATGACAGATGCGCTCTCACTCATATCTTGTCCTTTCCACAACCTTCTCTAATGACATGAAGCCCAGCAAATTCAAACGCTCAATTTCAGCGTCTGCCGTAAACAAACTAGCTTGGCACAGACATGCAGTGTGTGAGTGTGTTTGTGTGTGTGTGTGTGTGTGTGTGTGTGTGTGTGTTTGTGTGTTTGTGTGTGTGAGTGCGTGTCGGCTCATCAGACAGCCCGTGCTTGGCGGCTCCTCAGAGCCACTCCAGCGGCCCTCCATCAAAGCCAACGTCACACTGTTGGAAAAACACTTCAGAGGACGAGTTCACAGCTCGAGTCTCCGAGAGCGATTTCACAGCTCCTTCCGCCCACACTACGCCTCCTCTCGCTGGATTAGATGGAATGTGTCGTTACAGTCCTCCTAAATTAAGATGCGCTTCTGACGCAGCCAGCAAATTCCACAGACAGGAGGGAGTGATATGGCGTTTTAACAGCAATCAAACAAAATGTGCATTGGTATGTGTGAGGAATTACTAAGGATTTATCTGAGGGCTGAAGACTTCCTTTCTAATGTGTTACTAATTCACAAGGGAAATGAGGCATTACATGCACTATGGTGGACGGATGGTCAGCCTTGTGTCATCCTTTGAATACGCTCCAACTGCAAACTTCAAAGCACAAGGTAAATCATCTGAATTCTAATGCAATTGGCAAAGCTCCTTTAATAGAACCTGTGTAAGCTCTGTTGATGTGATTAGTATTCTATTAGGAGTTTTGCACTAGACAGGGTAAGCTTCAATATGATTCAAACACTCCCGACAGCAGAAAAGGGAGAACTCGTTGTAATTTGTTCATCAACAAATGAAAGCCAGGCACTTCTTGTTCTTCTCTGTTTGTTTGTTTTTGCACATTAGCAGGTTGTAGGTTTCCACTACATCCTTCCCTCCATTCATAAACAAATCTAGCCCAGAGCTACCAGACCAGTTTGTTCTGCAGGCCTCACTAGTTGTTAGAGCCCCCAGTACAGTTTCCAGCCATCCATGCAGCCTCAGTGTAGTGTAGTGGATGGTTTGAGCACCATGGCCAGGGGCGGTAGCCGTGCAGACTCTGGCTGTTCTTACCTCTGCCTCCGGAGGGCACTGTTGCCACGTCGCTCCTGCCCGGTAGCCCAGTGCTCAGTCCGTTGTTGATCAGGTGACCATCGGCCGGTTTCAGCTGCCAGTTGAGCCCCAGCAGATTCAGAACTGAGCGAGAGAGAGAGATAGGGAGTTGTGTGAGAGAGAGAGAGAGCAGAATAGTACAGTGTGAATACTGTAGTGTATATACCACTAATAAACAGAGCTGAGCTGTTGATCTGTGCTGGGTTGGGCTGGCCACAATGGCCAGGCAGCTTGCTCACACAGGTAGACTGTAAGACCACAGCCCAGGAGAACAGTTTAATCAGCCTCTCACTTCATTACTTAATCACAATGGCCTTTAGGTAAATCACTTCATTCCAATACTCAAGTGAAAACTGGCTTTGTCTCAATACCTTCCTGTATATTGGATTAAATGCTGGGACATCGTAAATCTTGATTAAAAAAAGACAAATAGGCGGAATCGGAATAATAATAAAAAATAATATATATAATGCTATGAATTCAGTGACAAAGTGACATAAGCAAAGATGACTATTCTTCTTGAGTTAACCAGCTCTTACATTCATTGCCAGGAAAATACCTTGGATTAATATCTCAGCAATTTTTCCATCTGCTCCTCAGAACTCCAATTACTGCTGCCAATGACCTTTTGCACAGAGCGAAACCCAGAGAGTAGATCATTCAGATATATCAAAATTCAAAAATGTAGCTATTAGGCTGGGCCAGGGATGTAATCTGCTTGAAGCACACATCAACCTCACTATAACAAGTCAGACAGATCGATGCTCTATGATAATAAAAGGAACAGTCGTTTTGTCAGTCAGTATTCCTAAGGTCATCTACATGACAACATGCAGAGTGGTCCAAGGGCTATGTGGGGAGAGGCAGAGGGGGTCTTAATATTCTACCCAGTCCCTCTTTCCCTACTCCACATGGACACACACCAGCACACACACTGACATTCGCATGTACAGGCACAGGAGTATGCATGCAAGCAGAGAGGCCACACACACACACACACACACAGTCTTGTACAACTAACCTTGTGGGGACACACAATTCAGTCCCATTCAAAATCGTATATTCCCTAACTCCTAACCCTAACCTAATTCTAACCTTAACCCTAAATCCCCTAGAAATAGCATTTGACGTTGTGGGGACCAACAAAATGTCCCCAGTTGTCCCCACAAGTATAGATAAACACGTCCACACACACACACACACAACGATGCAGACGTATGCAGTATTAGTGTTAATGACTCACTTTCATCTGTGCCCTACTAGCCCACCTAAATCCCCACTCCAGTGAGCTGGAGCACAGACTGAGGGCTGAGGCAGACAGTAGGCTGAGAAGAATGAATGGAGCAGGATGGGCCCCTCAGTATCGCTCCTGTCTGAGCTGTTCAGCTTGACTTGTAGGCAGACAGGCAGTCAGGCAGTCAGTCAGGCAGGCAGGCAGGCAGGCAGGCAGTCAGTCAGGCAGTCTATGCTCCTGTGCCACGCCACTGTTAACCTCTCTCTATTGCCACAGAGGGGCAGAGACGGAGCAGCCTTTCTCCACTAAATCCATTTACTCCTGCTTTCTCGCTCTTTCTCTCCTCTATCTGCTTATCTGTCACAATCTCTCTCCTTCAATCCACATCTCCTTCATTCATCTCTCTCTGCAACCTTTCTTTTCACCCTCAGCAGTCACTAGGCCTATGTCCCAGATACACTTTGCTATCGAGACATTGGGCTGCTGCTGCTGATCCTAGGACAGATCAGGGACAAAGAAGTCCAGAAACGTTATCAATAATAAGCTCTCTCTGAAAGCTTTGTCTAATGTGACACAATTCACTGCATTTCTGTCGATGCTGGCAAGAAACCTGTCGTCTTTCTACTCAGCCTGTAGAGGGCACCCTTGCTATAAACCATTGCAGAGTTCAAAGGGGAATTGTTGATAAGGTCTATGCATGGGGAGCCATACTGCATATCGGCTCTGTATTGCAGGGAGACACACCTCTATACAGTACTCCACAGCAATGGCGCTACCTTCCTCAACCCAGGATGGTGCCAAAAGACAAATACAGTCAATTGTCCATTCTATTAAATCATTTAACAACAATCAAATGATGCTATTCTAAAAATAGCACTTCTCAATGACTATTTTCAAGCCATCTCCTTAAGGCGTGCACACAGTCATCCTACATTTAAACAAAGTAAACAAATCAGGCTGGCTGTGCAGCTATAGTTATGCACACTATAAATGTGCCCATGGGGATGAGTGTAGGAAAAGGATCAGAGAAAAGCAGGCACTTTGCATGCATTAGCTCAAAGACAAGCGCAGCAGCACTGCACTCCTTACTGCTGTCTGCACACTGCCTGTACAACTCCCAAGGTTTACCTAGATAATCATTAGCTGATTGAATAAAAGCTTGCCAATGAGGCGAAGAGACAGTCAAAATATACCTAAATGACAGGCGGGCCCCTCAAGCTGTTGGTCATCCTCAGTTCATTCAGTACAAGAACCCAAATTCTACAGAGGCATTAATAGATCCTTGCCTTCGGGATCCTATCCCTCCCTAGCGTCTTTCGGTACAACACAGGCCTCTCTAAAGACACATGCATACATGGAAAACAATGTAAGCTAGGTAATCAGTGGTTAATCAGTCTGTCAATAAACTAGCATGGCAAGTGTTAAATGCTCTGTGTCGCTTCAATGCACTTAGACTGCTTAATCACATCTGGGGGAAAATCTTTCACAAACTCATTTTCGGCCCCGCAATAAACATGAATAATTAACAGAAAATGTGTTAGATGAGAAATTCATGAGATGGTGCATAACAATTTATGTAATCTTTATCTATAATTCAGCTCCTCAAAGTGATGTATAATATTACCTAGAGAAGGACTCATATGAGAGATGACCTCAATGCTACCGGGACGGCACCGTGAGTCCCCCGTCTCTGTCTCTGTCTCTTCTGCAGTAGCAGGACGCTCCGACTTCACATCACATCTCTGCTCTGTTCTGTTCTGTTCTGTTCTGTACAGGCAGTTAGACCCTCATCAACGAACAGCCCAGAGAGATACCCCCGGTGGAATAATGCAGTATAATGATTTATTATTGGCTACCACTCACTTCATTTGGTAATGTATCAAAACTCAATGTGACATTCCAAAAAAGATCAAGTTGAAATAAATTGGTCTGGGGAGTCTGATGAATTCTAAGAATCTAACAGGTGAAGAGACTTCAGAAAGACAGTTTGGGGACTGAGACTGGGTGTGGTAGATTTATTTAACCCTTTATTCTTGTAATACGCCCATGTGAGCTGCTCCCTCCAGGGATATCTCCTGCAAACGCAAACACAGCTAAGTCTAAAGGCTTTCAAGTTCAACTACAAAGTGGAGCAGGCCCAGGGGCCAGGGATGGAGCTTGCCGGGCCGGCTGAGGAGAGGAAAGCAGGCCATGCTGGGGTTGAGGATGGGCCGTGATGTGATGGAGGAGAGGAGCTCAGGCCCGCTCGGTTGGTCCCCTGGCAGGACCAGCCTCTGATGAACCGGTAATGAAAACAGCCATGGGCCTTGCTCCCTGGGGGCTACACCCCCTCTGACTGATGCAACTAAGTGGCAGTTCACAGCAATCTGAGGACAGGATTACAGGAAGTTAAAAGCAGGTGTGCAGTCTGTGCAACACCACCCCTCCCCCATCCCCGAGAGACAACTCAAATGATAGGTGTGTAAACACTGACACTTGGCTCTTTCTCTAATACACACCATGTTAGTCATACACTTATCGACAGAAACTAATACACATGCACACAAACAAACAAACACACACACACACACACACAAACACTTGCATGGACAAAAGCGCACTATGAAATAAAAAGCTTTTATTCCCACTGATCTCCCGGCGTGTTTCCATCTTTGAAGTCTGTTTGATTTGTCATTCACAGCTTCTGGCAACACTGTTGTGAATACAAACGTGTGACTACGAGAATCGACAGTGTCTCTCCTAACAATGAAAAGCCAAGCCAATAACAGCAGCCCTTTCTGGGGTCTATCCATCCCCACTGCAGCGTTCTCTCCACAGCGTGTATCTGTATCCACCGCTCTATCCCTGACCAACTGAGGGACCCCAGCCTCATCACCTCACCTCTGAGAGATGATGCCACATGCCTGTGCTGCTGAGTCATTTTGTTGTCTGTTCATCACCCTCTCTGCAGACCCATGGAATCTAAAAAGGATTACCACCCCACCAGCACCCCCCTCCCTCTGCCAGCACCCCCACTCGGCGAGGGCGAGATGTGGGTGTGAAGAACAGCGTAACGAGATGGATCCAATCTATTCCACTCCGCTTGTCAAAATCCCTGAGCTCAACCATCAGTCCCCCAGACACCTTTTTCTTCTTCTATAATTACAACCTTCGTGTTATGAGTTTCTTTCTCTTACTCTTTCCCTGACTCCAAATGGACCATGTCACCATCCTGCCCATGTGCAAGTGCTGAGGAGACAGGGGTATATAGCGCTGTCACACAAACTATCGGTCTCATGAAGGAGTGCCAGGGAGAACATCCACACATATGCCAGCAGCATACCACCCTGCATCCCACTGCTGGCTTGCCCCTGAAGCTAAGCAGGGTTGGTCCTGTTGGTCCCTGGATGGGGGATCAGATGCTGCTTGAAGTGTTGTTGGAGGGCCACTAGGGGGCAGTCTTCCCTCTAGTCTAAGGAGATCCCAATTCCAGGGCAGTGAAGGGGACATTGCCCTATGTAGGGTGCTGTCTTTCGGATGGGATGATAAACGGGTGTCCTGACTCTCTGTGGTCATTCAAAATCCCATGGCACTTATCGTAAGAGTAGGGGTGTTAACCCCAGTGTCATGGCAACATTCCCAACCTGGCCCCATTCCATCATGGCCACCTAATTATCCTCTTCATTCCTAATTGGCATATATCACTCCTCACCTGTCTAGCTGACGTGTGGTGAGAGTTCTGGCACAAAAATGGTTGCTCTGCATCACTGAGGTGGGTGCTACACATTGATGGTGGATGAGGTGAATTTCCCCCTACTATGTAAAGTGCCTTGAGTACCTCAGTTGGTAGAACAGTGCTATATAAATCCAATCAATTATTAATTATTATTATAATATCTGGAGTCAGGCCACATGCTCAGCCACAGCTGCATCTCCATACAGCTCATACTATATGTGTCTAACCGTAACCGGCCAAGTTCACCAGTGGTGGCTGGCCATTCCAGCAATACTGCCAGGGCACTCTGCTCTCCGCTGCTTTTAAACAGAAACAGACCTGAATTTACTATTACTATGCAGGCTGGCATTTGTTTATAGCGAGAGGTAAAAATATGAAATTAAGTGGAATGGAAATAAAGTCGAATTTTGATTGTCATTTCTGTATGCCAGAAGCAGAATTTAGAGTAGAATGAAGAGATGAGGACTCAGGGTTGTGGATTGTTTTTCTCCAGTTTAAAGCGTGTGCATTGTATAGAATATCTAACACATCCATGACATGCGGCATCAGGAGAACCTTCACTCAAAGCCTCATCTCCAAAACAGGAAGGGAAGGAATTTCAGGTTGGGCTCTCTCCAGTGTACACCGGATTCATTCTGCACATGACTCTAAAAGTTTTGCCGGCATGAAGGTCAAAGTCTCCAAAGGCTTGGGGACATTGGGGGTCGTGTTTTCCAGGGCAGAGCCAGTCTGATGAGGGAGAAAGAAAAAAGAATGTGACAGACTGAGTGTATTGATGGAGCACTAGCTTCACCCAGAGAGAGGAGAGGAGAGGAAAGCCACGCAGGGCTGAGGACGTCTACCACCTGTCTCACATGTTTTATCACATGGCCTGTCACTAATGATGGACAGATGACTACAATCGGAACACACACATAAAATTGACAACCGCCAACCCTGCTCCATCACTGATACCAGAGACAGAGGGTGAATAATATGAGTGGATATGTGTGTGTGTTCCTGTGCCTGTGTGTGTCAGGTGGTGTTTTACTCTAAATATGCCCGTTATAATCCTGTTTTATGAGTCATTAGGTTGATTTCAGTGTCAATTACCCAACTTTCCCGGTTTCATGTCATGCGTAATGAAAGCCCCTGTTATGGCCAGATTAGCAGCTCCAGCACCAGTCCAGCTAACATACAGCGCACTCGGAAAGTATTCAGATCCCTTCACTTTTTCCACATTTTGTTACGTTACAGCCTTATTCTAAAGTGGATTAAATAAATATTTTTCCCTCATTAATCTACACACAATACCCCATATTAACAAAGCGAAAACAGATTTTTAGACATTTTTGCAAATGTATTAAAAATAAAAACAGAAATACCTTATTTAAATAAGTATTCAGACCCTTTGCTATGAGACTCGAAAATGAGCTCAGGTGCATCCTGCTTCCATTGATCATCCTTGAGATGTTTCTACAACTTGATTGGAGTCCACCTGTGGTAAATTCAATTGATTGGACATGATTTTGAAAGGCACACACCTGTCTATATAAGGTCCCACAGTTGACAGTGCATGTCTGAGCAAAAACCAAGCCATGAGGTCGAAGGAATTGTCTGAAGAGCTCCGAGACAGGATTGTGTTGAGGCACAGATCTGGGGAAGGGTACCAAAACATTTCTGCAGCATTGAAGGTCCCCAAGAACACAGTGGCCTCCATCATTCTTAAATGGAAGAAGTTTGGAACCACCAAGACTCTTCCTAGAGCTGGCCGCCCAGCCAAACTGAGCAATTGGGGGAGAAGGGCCTTGGTCAGGGAGGTGACTAAGAATCCGATGGTCACTCTGACAGAGCTCCAGAGTTCCTCTGTGGAGATGGGAGAACCTTCCAGAAGGACAACCATCTCTGCAGCACTCCACCAATCAGGCCTTTATGTTAGAGTGGCCAGACGGAAGCCACACCTCAGTAAAAGGCACATGACAGCCCGGAGGAAACCGGGCACCGCTCATCACCTGGCCAATACCATCAAGCAAGGGGTGGCTCACTGTGGGTTTTTTCAGAGTAGGAGACTAGTCAGGATGGTAAGATGACGAGCAAATCAGATAGTCTGCTGCTCAGAGCGCTAGCACCTCAAATCAATAAATTTTATGGTCACATGCGGATACACAGGCAGAATTACGTGAAAGCTTACTTAGCCCTTACCAGGATTTTTAAAAAAAAAGAGTAAAAACAACAAAAAGTGAGAAAAAAGAAGCAGAAGTAAAAATAAATGCAGTAGGAGGATAACATAGAATGACAGGGAGGCTAATTACAGGGGGTACTGTGCTAATCTGTCGAGGGCACCGGCTAGCTGAGGCGAAGGTTCACCTTCAACAGGACAACGACCCTAAGCACACAGCCAAGACAACGCAGGAGTAGCTTTGGGACAAGTCTCTGAATGTCCTTGAGTGGCCCAGCCAGAGCCTGGACTTGAACGCGATCGAACATCTCAGGAGAGACCTGAAAATAGCTGTGCAGCGACGCTCCTCATCCAACCTGACAGAGCTTGAGAGGATCTGCAGAGAAGAATGGGAGAAACTCCCCAAATACAGGTGTGGCAAGCTTATAGTGTTACACCCAAGAAGACTCGAGGCTGTAATCGCTGCCAAAGGTGCTTCAACAAAGTACTGAGTAAAGGGTTTGAACACTTATGTAAATGTCATATTTCAGTTTTAAATGTTGTATAAAGTTGCACAGAATTCTAAAAACCTGTTTTTGCTTTGTCATTATTGGGTATTGTGTGTAGATGGATGAGGGATTATTTTTATTTTTTAATCCATTTTAGAGTAAGGCTGTAACATAACAAAATGTAGAAAAAGTTAAGGGGTCTGAATACTTTTTGAATGCACTGTAACTAAGGGGATAAGAGTAGAACCTATATCAAAAGGGTGTTTGGGAGGTGGATAGCTAAGCCTAGACATACTCATCATTTATCTCTTCCTTTCATCCTCGTTCACCAATTAGTGTAAATTAGACCTGCTGTCCTTTAAGAAATGAGAGAGAGAGAGAGAGAGAGAGAGAGAGAGAGAGAGAGAGAGAGAGAGAGAGAGAGAGAGAGAGAGAGAGAGAGAGAGAGAGAGAGAGAAAGACGCAGGAGGCAGCAGCAGCAGGGCTCTCCACTCCCCATCGCCATCCCCACCTAGCATAATGATGCTAGACCTGCTCGGCTTGCATCAGGCCTGCTCACCTCACCTGTGTCCTAGCAACAGTAAACCTCTCAGCCCCTTGGATGCGGTAGGTCTGTGAGCGAGTGTGTTTCCAAACAAAACACAAGGATTATAAAAACACCTTTGTGGCAAACAAGTGTCTTTAGAGGAATGGACGAGTGGAGAGATACAAGGACAATTGGTGGGTGTCAGTCTTTCATGATGTAACAACGGCCCTGTGATTGGCCCAGTAGCTCTTTACACTCGTACCCGTATACGGGTTCAAAATAGCAGATATGGACACTGTGCCTAAATTGGACCGCAGTGGCTGTACAACAACATGCTACTCATGACGTCAGAGCTCAAGGTCTCATCTTCACAGTGCAGTATTGGTTTCGACTGACAGCGATTCTGAACGTGAACACCGCGTGTGACAAGACGTTGCCCCGATCCCTCCCACTAATTGGGCAACTTTTGCAAATGTGTTGTTGTCTGAGTGAGGGAAACGCTGTCATTAAAGAGGAATCGATGTATGTTGAAAGATGAGACATTGAGAATTATAATAAATACCGCTTTGATGTCATACAAGCCAAACACCTGGTTAGTCCAAATGTGCACTTCCCATTTCCATATCATAAAACTCGTAATATAGTGTCAACGTCTATGATCACTATGTTTGATGTACAGTTACAAGATGACATGGCCTTATACCCTGGGTTGTCCTGAACAGAATGAGCCTGTTTGTTGTATTGTGAAGAACTTTGGCGGGGAACACGCATCTGAATGCACCAAAATTAGGATCTGCTTCTCTGAATTGCCTTGTGAAAGCCTAACACTGTAAGATCGTATTTAGTAATTTAACTAGCTAGCCATGTTGGCAATAGAACACGCTTTCAAATGATGCCCACCTGACCAGATTGCGATTTATAATGGACTGTTTTTGGAATGTGTAAACAACAACAGTAATTGTGTAGGCGGGGATGCAGGGCTGTGTTCCAAAGACAACAACTACAAGTCTGCTTGCTCTAGTTCCTCAACAGCACAGCTAGGAGAGCTCAAAATAGCACCTTATAGTTGAAGACTCTTCTTTGAGTCATAAAGGTGGATTAAAATGACGTAGGAACTGTGCACACTTTGGAGAGGTGTGTGGCCACTTGGAGACTCCAGCTAGTCCTCTCACTCAAACCCTTGTCAATTGTTTGTCTTATGTTGCACCTACCCCACATTTTACAGGAATAGTCGAGTCATGTTACTGAATGTATCCAGAGTATTTACAGATTTCGTTATCAACAAATGTGGCGAAATGTACAGTCAATGTAAAATGCACATAAAGACGAGATTAGAACCTATATCGATTCCTCTTTGCTACCATGGTTTATGCATACGCTTTCCATATTTCTTCTGTAAGAAACATTTCAATTTAGTCCTATCCCACAAGTGTATTGGGTTAAGAGGCATGCTGCTACGCAGACTCAAACAGAGACTAGCATTCAACTCTTTCAGAGCATATTCTTTGTCTTGAGTCTCTGAGAGAAGTTCTCTTCAAATACTAATTGTGGAGTTCAAAAAAAGGACAGACAGCATAATTTTTTAGACACTTATGGAAGAGGGAAACAGAAATAACCTATATTTGTCTGACTGCTGCGTTTTCAGATGCATTAGTGCAGATCTCCCAGGTACGTAAACAGAGTCTGGGCCTCTCTCTGTGTAGTCTGTGGCTATGGCTGTGTCTGCAGTGGAGAGCTCAGGTGCAGCCGCCCAGATTTGTTTGTTTGTAAAAAGCCACGGTCACATTTCTTTCTGCAGCTTGCACGCACGCACAGGGGCCGGTTCTGCTCAGAAGTCCAGGCCCACTGAGTATTGGCCTGGCCCGGGGGCTGGATCAGAACCGCTCAGCCCGTAAAGCCTCGAACCCCATCCCCGCGCTGGGATACAGAGCACTCTGCCTGCTGAGTGGTGGCCTTGCCTCCCTCCCTCGGTGTGCCTGAGTGCCACGCCATGCGAAACATAATCCCACAGGTAATGGGGGAGTTTCACCACGCACCACACACCAGTGCACACACACAGCCAGCTTCCACCCATGGCTGCCCAGAGACAATGAGACAGCTCTCCCTCTCTCTCTCTGTTTTTTCTCCCCCTCTGTGTGTGTCTCTCCAGCTTTGAAAAGGACAAACGTGTCAACGCAATCTCACAGTGAATAAATATATCCACAAACATTGCAATTCCAAACAGTGAAGCCCTGAAAGCAGGGTGAAGTCGACCGAAAACCACATAAGCTTGGCCACCACAACTAATGTATCGGTTTCTACCACACAGAGCCCTTAATACAACATCTTCAGGCAACCCCCCCCACAGGAGATTGGCCTTAGCTGTTATTATGTGACATTTTAGTCATTTAGCAGACGCTCTTATCCAGAGCGACTTACAGTTAGTGAGTTACTGAGCTCTCCACTGCAGACATGTTATATATATATATATTTTTTTCATACTGGCCCCCCGTGGGAATCGAACCCACAACCCTGGCATTGCAAGCGCCATGCTCTACCAACTGAGCTACACGACCACAGTGAGGCTCTTGATCAGCTCATCAAAGCCCTTTGATGTGTTTGCTCTTATTTTCCAACCCTCCTGCAGTGGGCTCCGCTCCCTCTCTCACTCTAGCGCTCTACGCCTCAGTATCGACTGTGTCCACAGTCCTCTGAGGAGCAAGGCTTGGGGAGCGACAGGCTCCCTCTCTCAGCCTGGTGTGGGGAGCTAACAGCAGTGCTGCGATGACTCACAATCAGCATGTCAGATCTGAACACTGCCTGAGAGGCCTCATTCTGACTATAAATCGTTACCTCACAAAACAAAATGCTCATAGTAAATATTGTGGGATGAAACCGATCACGGAGTAAGGCTAGAGTAGGTTGAGTGTTCATATAGCCTGTTCTTTCAATGTGCTTCATCCACGGTCATACATTTGTCATGAGCATGAATACATATTCCATTTTATAATAACCAACATAATATGCAAAACGGCACGTACTGATTCATTGTGTGTCAAATGTCAAGCTAATTATGATATATGTGCAAGGTTCTAGCAATTCCTTTTCCATGTCAAGTATCTATGAATTTTAATATCATTATTTTGATAGGCCTATGGTACCCTTGATTTTCAGGTGGAATATTTTCCAGTTCATTCCCAAACAGGTGATATGAGCCAAGCCAATCTGATAGCAGATAGCATATCACTATAACAAGGGGGCCTACAGTACTGTTCTGAAGTGTACCGTTGCCTACCTATGAAGTAGGAGAGCAGCACGGCCAGCAGGACGGCAGCAGCGATGGCCGACACGGCAGCACATTTCCAGCTGCAGTACTTGGAGGGTTTATTCAGCTTGAAGGAGCTCCTGGAGAAGGTGTTTCTGGGTAGCAGCCGCGGTGGGGGGGAGTAGACGGTCCCAGACGTCAGGGGGTACCCTGGAGACGAGCTGCTGAACAGGGGAGTGGTCCCAGATGGGGTTTTAAACAGGAAGTGCCTACAGCGAAGGAGAGAAAAGGGAAAGGAGAGAGAAAGAGGCGGACACACAGAGTTACAATCAGCTGCTACAGGGTCTCTATTGCCAATAGAATGTGCAAATTGTGTTGGAGTGAACAGTAGCTTTCAGAATATAATGGGACATCTGGAGCAATGAAGTGCCCCTCTATATTCTACCAGCAATTATTCACCTGCATTGATTTTCTTATTCACGCTACTCAAAGCGGTCTAAGGACACTGAATTATACAGCTAAAAGCATTCAGAATATAAAGATGATCTCCTTCCTGGCATTTCATTATTATACTCATTATCATGGTTAGTGCTTAGGCTAAGGATAAAAATCAACTGCTTCTTCGTCATCAGCAGTCTAATTTCTACCCGTCTTGCACGACAACAACATTCTGCATATATACCAATGTGAAGATTAGTAAATACTGTAGCTAAAGGAGTCCGCTTCAACAGTATCTCTCCCCCAGCACCTCATTGCCGTCGGTTTGACTCTGTGGGCCGTGTCCAGTGCCCAGCTTGGCTACGGGCAGACCCCAGTGCCAGGCCAGTGCAATGCTGGCCTGTGCCAGGTGGGTGGCAGACCCCGCGGGGAGGTCTACGAGGAGGCAGATGGGATGGGGATGAAAGTGGAAGACAGTTGACCGTGCCGCTTTGATGCCGGTCGGAAGCTCTCACAAGCTGCTGCCCCACACTGAACCCAAAAACACTCTCCTCTCAGATCTCGTTCCACAGCTCCAGCCCGGACTGGGAAGGAAGTCCACAACCCCCCGCATCAATCATCATGGTGTCACTCCTCTCTCGCCTCAAAAAACTCAATTTCTCTTCTATTCACTCACACACAACAAAAGGACAGTTTCTTCTCCTCTCCTCAATTGGAGAAGTAGTGACTAGATCAATGGTGCATATCTACCAATTACGCGTCTCAACTCCTGAGCTGGTGTCTGACCAATCCTAGCCGTAGAAGACTGACATCAACACGAACAGGCTCTCCACAGCCCATCTCTCAACCAACCGAAGAACCGATGGAGAACACCAAGGATGACTTGTAACAAAAGGTCTGGGAATTAACATTAGAAATAAGTAGGAAATCTGTCAAAGATGTCTGTTAAATCGACTATATGTGTTGTAAAGGGAAAGAGCTCTTCTTTGAAGTAGGTAAGGGGAAGCAGCAGAGAGAGTAACAAATGGATTGACCGTCAATTCTCAATTCACCGGTTTGGTGGTCTGTGTCCAAATGACAGCGTCAGCTCAGAAATAATTTCATGGGGTGAGAAAGGAACAGAACGACTTAGATATGAGTGAGAGACAAAGTGAGGAGGAGTGAGAGAAGAAAAAAAAACTGGTTGTATGCACAAACAAGCTGTAGGAGGCGTGCGCACATCTCATAACTCAAGGTCTTACCTCGATGTGTCTCGCTCAGTCGTTACATTTCTGATCAGTCTTACATTGGGATTTACATGCAGGCAAGGTCAACTGTGAAACCTGCTCAAGGCAACAGCCTGTTTTCATAGCCATTTTGATTGTGTATCGGCATTCCTCACCCTGGAATAGTGATGATAAAGTGGGCTGACTTGCCTGTCTACCCAATTATCAGTTAATATCAAATGATGGCTCGCTGATGAGATCAACTAATCCCAAGGTCTGCAACATGTGACCTAATAATCAACATTCAATTCACTCTAACAATCTCATGTGAAGTGAAATAAACACCTTCAGGAATGGTTTGTCTGAACATAATATATTGAATATACTGTATATGGCTGTATAGCGGCGATCAAAGGGATGACATCCAAAAATATGATTGATATACGTATGTTTGGTTGATCCCCATTTTGCTTGTGTTAAATATGAGTTCAGCCTAACACGATGCACATATGCTGACTTTCCAGATGGCCATTATGGTTCCTCAGAGTATCACCCTCTATACCTCCTCCTCTGTATATACCAAAGGGGGATGAAGACAGTGAAAAGAGGTGTCACCGCGGCAACCTGAGAAGGTGTTACACTGGGAGCGGCCCCTCCTGACGGCTGTGTATGTGCACTAATGAAAACATGGCTGAGGTTAGCGCCCTGCCCCTTACCCTGGCCTGCCCGCCGACACTGCCTGATTAATGACCTGTCCCTTGGTGACAGGCAGGCGGCTGGCCACGGCCATCACGTCACACCGTGTTAGTGGAGAGAATATCCTCTCAACTAGATGCATGTTAATTGCACCATAGCAGGCGGCAGGAAAATGAATCCATAAATCAATCATATTTTATTCACCAGGGCACAAGTCGTATAGCCGTCGTCAGAGATAGCTTTGGCAAGCACACAAGAGATGAGATGAGTTGGATGATATCACAGTTGATAATGTGTGGGTATTACCACCTGAATGAAACAACACAATATTATCACAACATAGAAGAGCATATAATATTCTCTGTCCTGACATGACAAAGAAGGCCGTTTGTATCCAAATCAGTCAATAGTAAAAATAAATGTCCTATTCAGCAGTTATTACATTTTTAAAAGAGGAGAGCCAGCATCAAAGCTTCATTTGAATAAGAACACCCCAAAAAACTATTTTCTTTCAGGTGAGACTTTTTGCCTTTTTGTTTATTTATTTTATCCAGATGTTAATCTATCATCATTTTAAATAGCACTAATGGTGAAAGTATTTTCTTTCCTTCCTGCTCCTGTTTGTAAATTGGCCACAACATGCCACTCAGAGGAGTTTATCCCACACAGACAGTTAAACAAAACCACAGATGAATACAAACCAAGTCAAACAGAACAAAACAAAACAGCAAGACAAAACTGTGTTCATAGTCTCTCTTTCACAGTAAACACTTCTCTCATCCTGGGGGAGGGCGTGTAAAGCCAGCGCAATTAACGAGTAAATGGAGATTTTACAGATAATGAACAGGAATTCAACTGGAGTCTAGCTCTATTAGTATTCTACCAGACATGCCAGGACATAATGGTAAAGCTATCAAGGGCAACAGAAATGTAGCATAAGAATTTATGTAATGAACCCTGTTTGGCATTCAAGGCACGGAGGGCTGAACTGTTGGATGTTCTGGTTGCTTCTCTCTCAATACCAATACCTCCAGAATATCAGGCAGGCAGGGCCAGGTCTGTCTGCAAGGTGCAACCACGGCAACACATTGAGCTGGGTGCTAACACACTGAACCATCCTGACCATACCGACGGTGCCAGAGTCAGTCAATCTAATCTAATAAAAAGCAACATCAAAAGGTTCGGGAGTTGAACCCCCCTAGTGTGGCTGGATCATTTTGTTTACTACCTTCAGAAGGAATTTAAGTTAACTCTTCAAGTGACCTTGCAATTGTGCAATACATTTAATTGTATTTATGTAGTGTATTGCACCATGCACTTTAAGGGACCACAATAAAAATAAGTCATTGACTTTATTTTGTTATCCCAGACTAGTTTTTAAAATGTATGTACTGTGTGTGTGTATATGTCATTTTTTTTTAAAACTGTCAAATAGAATAGAATCAATCAACGTTTGAAGACTTCCACAACAACAAAACTAAATCTGACAGGATAGCAACCACAATGCCGCAGTTGAACACAGAGAAAAATATCTTATTCTCAGAAGATGTCTCTCCTAGACAGAGCTCACGGTTAAGAAACTGGGTCTCAGTGGGGTTGAAACAGTGAAAAAAGGCATTTCACATTAGGTCTCCATTTGGAAATTGAACAAGCTTCAAACGCTACCATTTAACATGGCAGCCATTAATAGTGCATAATGCATTTCAATAAAGATGCCATGAACATACTAATACGGCACCATAATAATCAGTGGCTTGGTCTTCATATTACATGAGCAGACTGCTCATGAGTATTGTCTAATACATACACTAGTAGGGCTCGGCTCATACATGCACATTGTTGTTGAGAATATAGGGAGGAACACCTATAGTCCTACAGCACCATTGCACAGGTGGCCGCTACTCGCTACACTTTGTGATTTTTTATCTCCCCCAACCTGTTTAATTTCAGGGCTCCTCAGCAGAAATCGACTGCTGGAGGAGGACATTCAATCTGCAGATAGAGAGAGAGAGGAAGAGAGTGAGAGAGAGAGAGGAATGGTCCAGACGTCTCAAACAAGCCCATTGGGATACAGGGAGAGAGCGGACCGGGCAGTGACTCAGCTCACCTCTCAGGATAATGGATTTTTTATTATTTCATTTCAATTCACAATTTCTGGAATGTGATGAGACTGGACCCTAGAGTATGACAGATTTACAGTGCCTTGCAGAAGTATTCAGACCCCTTGGATTTCTTCACATTTTATTGTGCTACTAAGTGGGATTAAAATGGATTTAATAGTCCTTTTTTTGTCAACAATCTACACAAAGTACTCTGTAATGTCATTTTTATATATTTTTTAAGATAAATAAAACATTCATAACTAAAATATAGTCACTGCATAAGTATTCAGCCCCTTTGTTATGGCAAGCCTAAATTAGTTCAGGATTAAAATGTGGCTTAACAAATCACAGAATAAGTTACATGGACACTCTGTGTGATATAATAGGGATTGACATGATGTTTGAATGACTGACCCTTCCTCTGTCCTTCATACATACAACATCTGGAAGGTCCCTCAGTCAAATATTGAATTTCAAGCACAGATTCAACTACAAAGACCAGGGAACTTTTCAATAGCCTCATAAAGAAGGGCAGTGATTGGTAGATGGGTAACAATGACACATCAGACATTGATTATCTCTTAAGCATGGTCAAGTAAATAATTATGCTGTGGATTATGTATTAAACCAAACAGACACATCAAAGATACAGTCGTCCTTCTGAACTGAGCTGCAGGACAGGGTTGAAACTGCTAAGGGATGTTATCATGAGGCAATTGGTGATTTTAAAATAGCTACAGTTTAATGGCTGTGATGGGAGAATACTGAGGATGGATCAACAACATTGTAGGGACCTAAATGAGTGCAAAGAAGAATACAAATACACAGAAAAAATATATATTCCAAAACATGCATCTTGTATGCAACAAGGCACTAAAGTAATACGGCAAAAAACACAGCAAAGAAAGACCTACAACACAAGGCCAAATCTACACCAGAGTTGCTTACCAAGAAGACAGTGAATGTTCCTTAGTAGCCAAGTTAAAGTTTTGACTTAAATCTGCTTGAAAATCTATGTCAAGACTTGAAAATTGCTATCTAGCCATGATCCCCAACATCTTGACAGAGCTTGAAGAATTTTGAAAATAAGAAATGGGCAAATATTGCACAATCCAGGTGTGCAGCTCTTTTGACTTACCCAAGAAGAATCACAGCTGTAATCGATGCCAAATTTGTTTCTAACATGCATTGACTTATGCAACAACTATATTTTAGTTATTACATTTGTATTAATCTTTTTTTTTAAATGTACACATTTTTCTTCCATTTTGACATTAAAGAGTATTGTGTACATTGTTGACAAATAATTACAATTAAATCCATTTTAATCCCACTTTGTAACACAACAAAATATGGATCCTTTATAGATAACATCGATGTCACCCTGAACATTTTTGCTGCTCATTTATGCACTCTAGTTCCATGGCACATAAAGACTAGGGCAAGCATTTCATGAGGGAATTATATAAAATATTGTACTATGACAGTGGTTTTCAAACTTTTCTTGCCCATGCAAACTGGCGACCCAGGTACCCCCATCATATGTTAGCAAAAAGGTGAATGATAATGGCAAGTATAAGTAATATATATTTTTTAAATTAATAGATTTGGTAGACAGTTTCATTATTTTGACCACCCCACAGTTAAATTGGAAGAGGAAGTGTCAACTCTAACATAGCCTATTAGCTAGAAAGGTAAAGGTATCTTGGCAGTGGCGAGAACATTTAGCTGTTTTAAAGGTAATTGTCTGCAATTCTTCAAATCTTTCCATTGAACTGCGGCAGATTTGAAGTTAATTTCCAGCAATCCTACACAGTTTGGCATGGAGCTGAGAGACAATTCTGCAGCTTTAAAGCTAATTTCCTGCAATTCTATGCATTTTGCCATGTCTAATGCTGTGTTCCTCTGCTCAAACATTACAACAAAATCAATGGGCATGTGCCCTGAATGCCATTTTTATTTAATTTTGGATTTTCCTTGACTGTCTAGCTTTTATTCGATTCTTAGTTTTCAAAGATTGTTTTATAAAAAAATATATATAGTTCAATATCTTTTCTGCATGCTTTCTATCTGGTTTTGGTCGTTTAAGTTGACACTGAAACTGTTTTTCCATCCCAAAAATGACCACTTAGACGGCCCGCCTAAGAATTTTATATACAGAAGAAAAACAGTAATTAGCTCCAATGACTGTAATTTCCTCCATATTAAAGGGATAGTTTGAGATTTTGGCAATGAAGCCATTTATCTACTTCCCCAGAGTTGGATGAACAACGCTCTAATGCTAGTTAGCATTGGTTCGTGAAACTACCTCTAACTTATTTCATACTGGACGCAGAGAGATAAAACTGTTATCTACAATGGTATTATGTTGTAGCTAGCGATATTCATATTTTTCATATAAAAAATCCCAAAAATGTATTCAATAAAATTGCGGACTCCTGCAGTACCTCCTAGGGGTCCCCGGACCCAAGTTTCAAAACCCCTGCACTATGTTATGTGTCTTTCTACTGTAGTCATGTGCAATATGGTAAGCTTACAGTTGATTTGCTCCATTGCAAAAAAAATGATTTTTCCAAGCCAAACCCAAGTGTGTGTGTGTGTGAGTGTGAGTGTGAGAGAGAGAGAGAGAGAGAGAGAGCATGTGCGTGTGCGTGTGCGTGTGTGTTTGAATGTACTGTATGAGTTATATTATCTCCAGCAGTGGTATGATGGACAGCATGGCAGGTGGTTCCAGGTCACAGGGTAAAGGGTCAGGTCCCAGATGAAATGCTGTTTTGTGCCTATGAGGGAGACTCTATAAAGACCAAGCAGTATTAATGGGTGAAACTAAGTAAAAGTGCTAGCGCTGCAAGACGCCCTAGACAGGGGCATCTGAAAGACAAAGAATTATGAACTGAAGTGTGTGAGGTCAGGCCCATATGCCCCGACAGAAGCTATATTAATCTGCCTGCTGAGAACAGGCAATGAGGGGGCAGGGAGAGAGGGAAGAGAGAAGAGGAGACACAGAAGGGGGGAGAGGAGAAAAGGGCAAGGAGCACTAGGGGGAGAAGATAGTGAGGGAATAGACGCAGTGTTTTTGTACTGTTTTGTTTGTTTGTATTTGGCGTTTGTGTGCATTTGTGTGAATGTGTATGTGTATATAGCTGTCTGTGTAAAGTGTAGGACTAGGAAGAGGAAATTGGGTTGCTGTCCACGGTAGAAAGGGAAGTCATAAAACCTAATAAACTAACTAACAAACCACCATACTGGAGACGTTTGGGGAAACGTCTGGCCTAAAAACTCATGCTGCTAGGACACCAAATCAGGAAATACAACCCTAACATCCTGAACACTGTCTCGTTATTCCTGCGTATCTCAGCTAACATTATGGAATTGAGAAACATTGATAAATATCTATACTGTGCACAGTATATCATCATTTGGAGTTCCAATAGTATAACTCTTTTTTCAAACTGATTTCCTCACTCAGTAGAGGCATGCTGGCTGTGACTGGAGAGGAGGGAGCAGGTAGATGAAGGCGCCCGGCAGTAGCAGGAGTAGCAGGAGCTGCGCCTGTGCTCCTGGTGAATAAAACATCTAAAGAGACACGCCCTGTAGTCCCGGCCTCATGAATTGTGCATGCGGCGTGTTTGGGGTGTGATCTGGGAACATAGAGGAGCGACCCACAAACCAGCAGGAGCCGGGCAATCACACACCAAACAGAAGACAGAACAGAGGGAGAGAGGAGGGCACCAGCTTCCATCTACCAGAACACCAGAGAGCGAGAGCAGCAGGCAGGGCCTCTGCCTGTGTGCCAGTGTGGCTGTGTGGGAAGATGGGCAACGGCAGGAGGGGGTGTTGAGTTCAGAGCTCTAGCAGCTGGGCAGAGGGCACCCACAAACCTGACCAGAGCCTTTAGGTTTAAGGTAAAGACCTTTGTCACTTGGATAAATATGTCCAAACATGAACGGATGGCAGACAGGCAGGCAGGGAGACAGTGTGACTGACCTGGTCTCCAGGGGCACGCTGCTGTTCAGCGCCCAGCTGTCCTGGAGCTGGACTGACTCTGGCGTGGAGGGGCCCTCCCCGGGGGCCGCCGAGGGGGCATGGGTTGGGCCGCGGCGGCTGGCCAGGGTGTTGCGGTTCAGGGAGTTGGCCGACGACTGGTGGTGGTTGTGGGGAGGAGGGAGCGGCGGCCGCAGAGACTGACTGTGGTGGTTGTTGGGAGGACCTGAAGGAGAACACAGGAACAAATTAGGGCTTATTGTTTGACAGGAATGGTGTTCTAGCGCATAGTGTATATTTCATTTGTTGTAGCCTTGACGGTGGCTTTTTAAAATGTGTACTACTTCACAGCCTGTTTTGACTGATTTAATGGAAGCATTTTCCATTGACAGTGATGTATGTTTGGATGCTTTAGTTTCATATAGAACATTTTTCATTTCATGTGTTACAAATTGCTATATGAGATCCAAATACGAAAACACCTCTGAAGAAATAACTAAAATTGTACAAGTATAATATTTTACAGACTAAATCCAACCTCCTGTAGAGTGACCAATTTTGTGTATGGACCACCCATACACAAAAAATGTATGCACACATGACTGTAAGTCGCTTTGGATAAAAGCGTCTGCTAAATGGCATATTATATTATTATTATTATTCCTCAACTAAAAAAGGGTAACATATAAGACAATTGAAAGCTGTGAATTATAACTTTGTGAAAGTTTAAAATGTTAATTATGATTAAAACTACCCAAATATTGGAATCAAGTGTTTACTTTTAAACCTTTAATCAAATAATATGATACAAATATTTGTATGCATTTTTGTAGCAGCCCTGAATTATACCATTTAATTAAAAGATAATGAAAGTAGGTAAATACTTCCGATTTTGGCCAATGAGATCTAAATATCTCTAAATTAAGGTATTAGAAAATATCACTAATTACTCAAGTCTAAAGAGAAATATTTGGATAATTATAATTTCTATCGACATATATTGTATGATACAGAGGACAAATTGTGTAGCAACATGACTCAAATCTTATATTGCCTCCGCCTCCACACATTCTGCCTGTTTGATGGACTGATCAGACAATGGCAAGACATCAATGAATCGACATATTCCTCGAAAGGGCAAAAGGAAAGGACAATATATACTTCTTCCATAAAGCAATAACAGTCTTATTGACTAAAAGGCAACGCCTACTGTGTAAAAAAGCACACAAACGCATACATTGAGTGTACAAAACATTAGGAACACCTGCTCTTTCCATGACATAGACTGAACAGGTGAATCCAGGTGAAAGCTATGATCCCTTATTGATGTCACTTGTTAAATCCACTTCAAATCAGTGTATATTAAGACAGGTTAAAGAAAGGATTTTTAAGCCTTGAGACAAACCAGCAATGGATTGTGTATGTGTGCCATTCAGAGGGTGAATAGGCAAGACAAAATATTGAATTGCCTTTGAACGAGATACGGTAGTAGGTGCCAGGCACACCGGTTTGAGTGTGTCAACAACTGCAACGCTGCTGGGTTTTCCATGCTCAACAGTTTCCCATGTGTATCAAGAATGGTACACCACCAAAAGGACATCCAATTTGACACAACTGTGGGAAGCATTGGGGTCAACATGGGCCAGCATCCCTGTGGAATGCTTTCGACACCTTGTACAGTCGTGGTCAAAAGTTTTGAGAATGACACAAGTATTGGTCTTCACAAAGTTAGCTGCTTCAGTGTTATGAGATATTTTTGTCAGATGTTACTATGGTATACTGAAGTATAATTACAGGCATTCCATAAGTGTCAAAGGCTTTTACTGACAATTACATTACGTTTATGCAATGAGTCAATATTCGCAGTGTTGACGCTTCTTTTTCAAGACCTGTGCAATCCGCCCTGGCATGCTGTCAATTAACTTCTGGGCCACATCCTGACTGATGGCAGCCCATTCTTGCATAATCAATGCTTGGAGTTTGTCAGAATTTGTGGGTTGTTGTTTGTCCACCCGCCTCTTGAGGATCGACCACAAGTTCTCAATGGGATTAAGGTCTGGAGTTTCCTGAACATGGACCCAAAATGTCGATGTTTTGTTCCCCGAGCCACCTAGTTATGGTTGGGAGAAGTTGCTCTCGGAGGATGTGTTGGTACCATTCTTTATTCATGGCTGTGTTCTTAGGCAAAATTGTGAGTGAGCCCACTCCCTTGGCTGAGAAGCAACCACACACATGAATGGTCTCAGGATGCTTTACTGTTGGCATGACACAGGACTGATGGTAGCGCTCACCTTTTCTTCTCCGGACAAGGTGTTTTCCGGATGCCCCAAACAATCGGAAAGGGGATTCATCAGAGAAAATGACTTTACCCCAGTCCTCAGCAGTCCAATCCCTGTAACTTTTACAGAATATCAGTCTGTCCCTGATGTTTTTCCTGGAGAGAAGTGGCTTCTTTGCTGCCTTTCTTGACACCAGGCCATCCTCCAAAAGTCTTCACCTCACTGTGCGTGCAGATGCACTCATACCTGCCTGCTGCCATTCCTGAGCAAGCTCTGCACTGGTGGTGCCCCGATCCCGCAGCTGAATCAACTTTAGGAGACGGTACTGGCGCTTGGCTGGACTTTCTTGGGCGCCCTGAAGCCTTCTTCACAACAATTGAACCTCTCTCCTTGAAGTTCTTGATGATCCGATAAATGGTTGATTTAGGTGCAATCTTACTAGCAGCAACATCCTTGCCTGTGAAGCCCTTTTTGTGCAAAGCAATGATGACGGCACATGTTTCCTTGCAGGTAACCATGGTTAACAGAGGAAGAACAATGATTTCAAGCACCACCCTCCTTTTAAAGCTTCCAGTCTGTTATTCTAACTCAATCAGCATGACAGAGTGATCTCCAGCCTTGTCCTCGTCAACACTCTCACCTGTGTTAACGAGAGAATCACTGACATGATGGCAGCTGGTCCTTTTGTGGCAGGGCTGAAATGCAGTGGACATGTTTTTGGGGGATTAAGTTCATTTTCATGGCAAATAGGGACTTTGCAATTAATTGCAATTCATTTGATCACTCTTCATGACATTCTGGAGTATATGCAAATTGCCATCATCAAAACTGAGGCAGCAGACTTTGTGAAAATTAGTATTTGTGTCATTCTCAAAACTTTTGACCACGACTGTAGAGTCCATGCCCCGACGAATTGAGGCTGTTCTGAGGGCAAAAGGGGGTGCAACTCAAGATTAGGAAGGTGTTCCTAATGTTTTGTCCACTCTGTGTATATTCTCCATTGGGTTTCGTCTTCCTCTCCTTGTATACTTAATGTCAGCTATAGAACATTTCAAAAGTAACATCAAAATATCAGTTACCCATACAGTATATAAAGTCAACATGATAAAAAACAGTGATTACATATACAGCACTGATAACTGAAGAATGAGACTCATACCAAGACATAAGACATGAGCTAAGAAAGGGAGAGGGCCTTTACACAAAACGTCTTGTGAAAAGAGGAGAAATGAAAGAGGGATTGGGCCGAGCTGAGATCAGTCATGGTTTGGAGGGCCAGGGTGTGTAATCTCCCACACCACACTGTGTAAGAACTGCAGAAAGACCTAGTGCTACAAAACCCAAATTTCACAAAAGCTGCGTTTGGACTGCAGGGACGCAGGGAACAATCTGAGCAGCACAATAGGGCTGAGAGCAGTGGATTATAAAGTGTGACGTGTCCATCAAAGCACCACTCCAAACTGCAGCCCCGGCTAAACACAATGGCATTCTGGTACTAACGCTTGGTCGGGCTCTGATTTGATGCTTCTTCCTCTGTTTCCCCCCGCAAACTGCTGTTCAAACTCAAATTAAGCTGACAGCCGTGGAGGTTGTTTACCAACCCTCAACAGGTCTGTGGGCACACAAAAGGGCTGTTGCAGTCAGAGCCCTCAGTTTCTAACCTTCAGGAACGACATCCCTGTGTGAACCAGTGAAATCCCACAGACACAATGGCCGGCTCCTCATCTGTTTAAACATACTGCCGAGATCACAGTGGAGATCTGAGCAGGGGGGTTGTCAAAGTCCCTACTGTAATACGCAGATTACAGCATTCTGCAGCGTGCTGGCCTTTATTAGTTTACTCTATTGTGTGTTTAATAGCTCTAATACAAAGGCCCCCTAAGATATAGATCACTTTATTGGTCGATTGCACAATTTCACTTCCGCTTTTAGCCCAACCCCTCCGAAATACACACATACATACAGTTTTGACCACTGGCTATAAGGTGAATGCACCAATTTGTAAGTCGCTCTGGATAAGAGCGTCTGCTAAATGACGTAAATGTAAATGTAAATGTAGGTGCAGGGGGCTGCCACACTGGGAGTCTGGGGACCTGTTGTTGTGGAGGGGTTAAGTGCTTTGCTCAAGGGCACATCGGCAGGCAATGGCATCCAGGAATTGATATCAGAAATCCCGCCAGATATTTCTGGTCTGACCCGGGATTTGAACTGGCAACCCTCCGGTTACCTGCCACAGCCAGTCCTTCCACAGAGGATCAGTCCTCCCACTGTGGCTCAGCACTACTATCTTCATACCTATTTAAAACGACATACTCCATCTTAAAAAAACAGTTGTGCTGCACAGTAGAGGAATGGCGGGGTTGCACTGCTGTTTTAGTAGTGGGGGCAGCAGCTTTTTCAGAATGGATGACATGATGACTTAACCCTGCACAATAAAGAGATGCAGCACAGTGGAGTGGTCCCTAACACGGCACACACATGATCACACACATACATACACATGAACAGAAAGCAACAACATCAGCCAGGCAGAACAAGGGCACTCACACAACCTATCCCCGGAGAATTATGCCTTTTCTCTTTCAGCCTGGAAGACAATCATTCCAATTCCAAACGAACAAAGTCCTATGAGGAGCAAGAGAGGCAAACTAGAAATTCGCAATAGAGGATACAAACTTAATAACAGGCAGCCATGTTGGTAATTACCACTCCATGGATATAGAATGAAGAAACTTCTAAAAGGTTAATTGCTTTTCTGTCAGCAAGGCAGCTCCTCGCTACAGAGTGGCAGACATTGAAATTGAGAGCGTGTCTGTTTTCTTTATATGAATCAGAAAAAAATGCAAATTTTTCCAAGAAAATTGGGATATTGTAATACCAAAAATACCCCCCCCCAAAATTTTTTTTGCTCAATTATAAAAAAATTATCAATAATGTTTTCATTAAAAACACAGATTTATGGCAGTGGGTCTTATCCAAGTAAATGTGGTATTAGCCAAGCTGCAGCAACATCCATATGAGCATGACTAAAACTTTGTTCTGTAGCTTTAGATCTCATCCTGCATCATAAGCTCCTTTAATGTAAAAACTGTTGAGATGGGAAACAGCACTGAGCTGTAGCTCCACCAATAAAATGGCATTCATTTTCCCTCCATTCTACCTCAACTTGCTTTTCTAAATGTGTTTTTATTTGAATGCCTTCTCTTCCCTGTCATTTAACAGAGTTGATTTATAATTAAGTTCTAATTTACTGTGCACACCAACAGCATGTAAAAGACAACTCAATAAAACACAGACGAGAGCCCATGTCAAATAAGCTACTATTTGATGTTTGTTGTTTTTGTATCATTCCTGAACAAAAAACTGGATGAGCGTTCAAGGCAATTTGCTACAAAACCTCTGTTTGAACTTGAAAATCACTCAGTTTGAACTTGAAAATCTGCTCCGACTGAATACTCTCTTTAAACAGTATGGGAACAGAGGAAAACACACAAACACATAAAATGGTCTACATGTCTATTTCTTTCTCCAATGTTTAGGAGTCCAGGCAAAATAAAATAAGAATTGCTGTAGATAATGACCCAGGTGTAGAATGTGTTTTATAGCCACGTCAGCTATCAAATATACATGTAGAGAGAGAAAAGAGACAGAATGCTGAAAGGGAATAAAAGAGCTAAAAGCAATTACAGTTCAGAGGCAATGCAGGGAAGAATGGAAGCACAGCACAACAGCTTCCCGGGTCCGCTTGTTGTTGTTAGTGGTGCATGGCGATGTTGAAATTACTGCAGCTCAGATTCGCAGGCTACGGACTAGAATGACAAGGATTAAAATAAATTGCCCAACATGAGTGGTGGGAACCTTGGAAAAACAATACGAGTAAAAGCATAAATGTCAATTTGGAATGATAAAAGACACAATCTAAACGGGGCAGGAGACGCCCCAAGACAGCACAAGGTAATAGAAATTGTGATTTTTACTGTGACTCAGCCTGCTTCAAAAGAAATGAGGTGGCATGTTTGGAAAGGGGGCATTTTTCTGTCTTCCACTCTTTTGTTAGTTCCACCTATCTCTTTACACAAACCAAAGAAAGGTGCAAATGTCTTCATTGAAACAGGCCCAAAGGTCAGTGCACTCATGTCAGCTCTCAACGCCTCAACATATGCCTAGTTGAATGGGTTAACATTTGGCTTCGGCTGCAAATTGGTAAGAACGGTGTAATGGGTATGCAAGACCCAGGATTCAGCTGAGGGTGTGCAGACTTCATTTTCTTTCACTACTAGTACATCATATCGTAACAGAGAATGGCAGGATTAGCAGAAGCAGTTTAATTCGATTTTTCCAGGGACTTCTGTTCAATGAATAAACCTTATGTTGACAATTCTGTTGGGCGTTTCCAGAGCAATAGGATGGGTGGTAAAACAGACCCGCAGCAACACCACACCGGGTCAGATCAGTGAGCGGCCATGCTTGACAAGCCATGGATCATACCCCTACTCTTCTAAAGAGCTGGGGATCTGGAAGTGCCGAAGGACAGCTCAGTTTCGGAGTGCACTACTTAGCCCTGTCCCCTTGAAGTTTTTATTTCTTGGGGATTTAATTAAAAAGCAAAGATTGCAGTACGTTAGTGCAAATGAAATACAGAGACATACTGATGGAGAGAGGAGGGGGGGATGAGACGGATAGTTTTTAAATATTCAGAGCACAGCATATCTCTGCCTCGGCCACTCATCTCCACTAATTAGACAATAATAACTGCCCAGCAGCAACAGTCAAGGAGACGAGACTACTGCACATTCAATTTGAAACCCCTCCAAATCAAATGCCCCAATGCTATGAAATTACATTCATCACCAGAGACACAATCTGTCGCATTAATACAATTTATTAATACAAAATTTAAGACCAGATAAATGAATGTTCCTTTGGTAACAAAGCGGTGTAGAGAATGGAGTGATCAAACATTCAACACACCACACAAACCTCTTGTGATTTCCCTGTTGGAATGTTTTTCTACTTCCAAACGCAAAGACACCGGAAATCGCAAGAGGGAAAAAAACAACAGATGAATAATGCATTGGTAGCATTAGTGCGCTAAGAGCCTGGCTCTTTCCAGGAGTAGCTACTGCGTCTGGCTAACCCTTCCCAAAGAGTGTGGGTGTGGAGAGACAGGCCCCAACAGGCACACAGTACAGTGCTGATGCCATAGACACCTCACTGTTCCCCCATGACACCTGAGAATTTGACAGCCTCAGGAAGAGATAGGGAGTGTACACAAGGTGCTAATGCTGTAGCATGGGTTAGTGCAAAAAATTTGCAGGAGACTAACAATGCATACCAATTACGCACAGCCGGCACTGGGGATAAGCCACAAGAGCAAGGCTAAGAATGGAGGCTTCAGGGGCAGACTATACGTTTGAAGGCAACGTTTTGCATTTGTTTGGAGAGATGCAACACTGCCACAATATGTAAGACGCTCTGGATACAAATATGATCATGAGAATGAAAAAGCCGCTACAAGAATATTATGTCGAATTTAGGAGCAGGAAACACAAAAATCAACAGTCATCCAACTTCAACACACAGTGATTTAAACTGGGATAGCAAAATATGTAATGAGGCAGGAGGAGTAGAGGGGATTGATGACTGAGTTGTCATAATCATTCTAAGGGAATCAGTCGATAACTGAATAACCCTAGGCATATGGGCAGGAAATCTAACTGAAATGAAGGAAAAAATTGTTCATGATCTGTTTCATCAATTAGCTTCTTGGTGGTTGTTGGTGAAAATGTTTCCCTCTGAGAGGTGATTGTACTAGAAAAGTAAAGACCAGAATGAAATTACACAATGTGTGCAGATGGCGGAAAAAGTAAGTTACAAAACAGCCCATTAGAATGCTTTGTAGAGAACTATAGTATCCTATTACAGAATACAGTATGTGAACTGTATGTGCTCTATACACAGGAACCTCAATCTAAAATGATAGTAGGATTCATTATCAGAATCAACAGGGAAAGAGATGCCAGAGCGGAAAACAACAGGCAATTAAAATATTCTTTATTCTATCCAGCTACCTAACCAATGAAGAAAAACTTGACAAAAGGAAGAGATGTGTTTGAAATCTCAATGGAATTGATGACAAGGAAATCTAAAAAGCGCTTTAGATCTGTTATACCTCTCAGAGCTAAAAATACTCCAACGTTCCTTCCATGTAAAACAGTGTTTGTTTGCCTACAGTGTCTAACAGCGCCTACCTGTCTAACAATCTGGGTTAATTGTGTTTAGTCGAAAATATCACTTCTGTTCTGACTCCAAACAGGACGGCGTGAGAAGCAGATAATCATATAAAAGGCTTTTATACTGCAGCACCAGGCCATCAACTTCCATAAGGCTGTGGTGATATGCTATTTCATGTCGTAGACATACCACTTCGTGATACCTACAAGTATTGACACTTCCATGGAAAAATCATTCTATGGTCTTTTAACCGCCTGACTGACTGATTTATTTTATTTTACTTCTTGCATAGATTTTCTATTAAACTGCATGCATGTGATGAGTAAAAGCTGGTATGACTGATTTTCTAAGCAATGTGCATAGATATAATACGTATTTACTTGTTTAGGTCAGAAACGTATTGATTCACATATTTTAAAATCAATAACAGGAGATAATTTATATTTTTGCAATATTTGAATATGTACTTTGGATGTTAAAGGGCCAATCCA